TAGAATTCATCTACATAAGTACAATACTATGTCTTTGATGATAAAATACTATGTCTTTGATGATAATATATTATGTCTTTGTGCTAGAACATTGTGACTGATTTAAAGAATCCCGAGCGAGCCATGGTTCACGGCGTGAACCACATAGGATTGCGTAGCAATTCTCGGGGGTTAGCGAGCAGGGTGCGGAGCCTCCTAGTATGATTTAAGTCGTAAGCTGGACCAAAGAATGTTCTAACTATGCCCGTAAGAATAAACTAAAAAAATTTAAATGCTCAAAATTTAGTACACAAGAGTTGAAGCTATTCCCATAAGATAGAAACAATGCATTTTTTAAACAAATTAATTGAATATTTAAATTATATATTTGTTTTAAGTAATGATACACATAGTTAATATTAATGCATTTATTTATTATTTAAACATATAAAATTAGTTACTATTGAATCGTATACATTATTCACTATTTAGTCCTATTTATTTATTCGATATTTTAAATAGTCAGTAACTTCATATTTTTATTTTTTTTAAATAAAATATTAGGTAAATATTTAAATAAAACCGTTCTAAATTTAAACAAAACATTTTTTTTTAGTTTGTAACAGCAAACTCTTCATTAAATTTGCCGCTTAAGTTTAGAGACAAGTTTATTCTTTTATTGACTTGCATTTAAGATTTTTTCCAAGCTCTTTCTTTTGAGATAAATAAAAGAAAAAGTTTAAGGAACAAAAGTAATAATTTTAATAAACAAAGTAATAATTTTTAATTAATTCCGTAAAATATTGTACTGACTTTAGAATGAACAAAAAGCTTAATTATTTGAAGAAAAAGAAAACGATCGATTGGCAAGACTTTTCCACGTGGAAGAAAATCTCTAGAATTAATAATCCCCAGTTTCTTTTTTTTTTCTTTCTATTTTTTTTTTTAATTTCAATTTTTAATCTTTCTCATATGAGCCCATAGGAATGAACTTTCCCAAATATTACAAACATAGGTTACAAACACTTTACATTTTCACAAAACTGTAGTTTTTTCTTCCTATCGATATCTATTGAAGTTTAACAGAGTTTGAACAGGGAGCACTGAATAAAGTTATGTAAACTTATGTTAAAAGTCATGGATTGTTACAATATCACAACACCTATAAAAATGTCAAAAAGGCGTCATTTCATCATGAGACGACGCGAAAAACAGCTTGAAGAACGTTTGATTTAAATAATATTTATATACTGTTATTTTGCTTTTTTAATAATCTACTCAAATCTTAAGTAAAATCAGTTTTTTTTTGGGGGGGGGGGGAAATTATGATTAAAGAAAAAAAACACGGCATGTCCTTTTCTTCGTTTTTTTTTTTCGAAATGGAAAGTATTGAATTTCTTATATTTAAGCAATAAAAGGAATAACGTTTATAAATGCGCCGATAGTCGTTAATATATTGAAAAGAAAACTATTGAGATCGCTTATTAAAATTGAGATTATCAAAAATAATATGAAATGATACATAATTTCAAAAACATGAATCTCTTAATTTAACAGCTGATATTTTCCGTAGCGTCTACGCCACCTACATCAAAGATGAATCCTACCTAGCATCTATTAAAACTCACATCCCGTGATTCCCGTGTATAAAACCTTTTTTTAACGATTCCCTTTTCTTACTTTTATTTTTGTCAGTCAAGAGATGAAATGAAGATGGCGCTACTTGTCTTTCAAGCACGAGAAACTTGAGAAGAAGCACATGATTCAAATTTGCAAACACTTCAAAAATTGATATCCAGGATCGAATGATTAAGAGTATGTCTGTCATTACTGTGATTCACTTAATTTTTAGTTCTAGTTTATTGTTATATGTTTTTTCAAAAAATGAAACAATCAACACCGACATATTCACAAGATTTTCTGATTACATTTATCGCTACAATAAAAGCTATGAATTTGGTACTTATGAGTTTAAGAAACGAGAAACAATTTTTGAAGTAAGCTATATTTTTGTTGATCCGATAATTTTTTTGCTTCTTAAGAAAAAAGCACATTTTTTTTGTGTTTGTTTACAAAATATCTTATTTTACTTTTTAAGCTCATTAAATAAAAATAATTTAATTTACATTTTAATGTTTATACTCAAACGTTTTCTCTTTTCTTTATCCATTTTCTTTCCTGTTGTTTTATTTTATTTATTTGTTTTACATATTGTGGGGAATGTCTAAACTACTTCAGACAGTTCATTTTAGAAAATATACTTAAACATTAAAAAAAAATTTCAAAAGTTGCTTTGGATTAACACATTTTTTTAAAGAAAAAAAATTTATATTTGCCGAATACATTTCAATGTACATTTAAAAGTCTTTAAAGAAGGAAAGGTGAAATTTATTGCTAAATCACTTTTAAATTGAACTATAACAGCAAATGTATTTTTTATGTGGTTAACGTTTATGATATATTTGTTTACTTTCATAGCTTTTAATAAAATAAAAGATGAACTCTAACTACGATGACTATAATACTAATACGGTGACTGTCCTCGTTGAAATGGGACATTTCCTTAAAATTAACGATTTTTTTATTTCTTTTATTAGAAGAACAGAATTTTAGCATTCTAACAGTGTCTTTTAGCTTTTTTTATATATGCATTTACATATATATTTTTATATATANATATATATATAAGAATAACATATGTAACAACTGATTAAACGATTCATCCAGTCTATTCAGTATAATTCCTCTTTTTTTAATGTGAAACTATCAAATAATAAGTAAGCATGTTTCTTAGCAGTTTTAAATCTTAAACTCTTTTGTCAACAAAAATAATGGATCAAAGTCGATTCCGTATGTACGAAAGAAAGTCACAGCCCCTCTTTTTTTTATCCTTACTTTCATCGTAGTAATCTAGCTTTAGGGTTGAATTCAAATAATCAATGTATCTTTTTGCATAAAACTAAATGTTAATTTCAATTTATTTAATAAAATTTCAAATATAATATTTATTAGGAGTTTTTTTTTTTCGTCTGTGTTTATAATTCCTAAGCTTTTAAATCTACTTATAGAATTTTTTCTAACCTTTTTTTACCTAAATTCAATTTTTATTTCACCATTGAAAATCGTCCTAGCGAAATTTTTTCTACATTTTTTTTTCTTTCACATTTTGAAAATACCATTTTGCGTAAGTTAAAGTCATACCCCTCCTCCCTTCTTACTCGCAAACATTATAGAAAATCACGAAGCTCTTAAATCTCCTTAGGTGCTTACGTAAAATAAGACCGGCACCATGCTATAAATAAATTCTCAAATACTACTGAGATCTTATATTTCACCCTAGATTTCAAAATTTTATGTCGAAATATATATTATGAAGAAGAGATTTCGAAATAAATTGAAAATCAGAGGTAAAATGAATAAGTAATCGATATTAGTTGCAAACGAAAACAAAAATTATTATTTGAATAAAAACTACGCTTGAGAATAATTTTTAAGGAAAAACAGCCAAATTAAGTTGTTATATTTACTATTTTATGCTTCAATCAGTCTATAATACAATAGAATATACAAGGTCCGGCTATTAATTTCCAGGACTGACGTAACTGTAGGAGAACGAAAAGCCGGAAGATAGCGCTAATGATTGCATATTGAAGAGTGTTTTCTTGCGCATGTGCAGTGCAATCGGCACCATACTGAAGTAAGTGGTTCTCGTAGAAAGGCACACTAAAACGTAGCTCTTAAATTCCTATTGTCGAAGTGAAAATGGAGCAAGAATAAACATTAAATGTTGCTTCAAATTGGGCAAGACAGCTGCGGAAACCTACAAATGATTAAAACAAGTTTACGGCGAGGAAGCATTATGTCGCTCCAGAACTTTTGAATGTTTTAAACGCTTTCGGGACAGCGCGAAAGCGTGGAAGATGATCCACACACAGGTCGGTCGCAGTCGTTACGCACGCCGGAAGAAATTGAAAAAGTTCGCTTCCACACATTGCGTTACCTGCGAGGCGATTCTTAGCCCAGCATGGTGTCGTTGAAATGCAGCATCCACCATACTCTCCAGACCTAGCGCCAGCAGACTGTTTCCTAAGCTGAAAAATTCTCAAGATTTCAAGAAAAGATTTCAAGATGTCGAAGCCATCAAGAAAACTGTAACGTCACTATTAAAGAGCATTCCAAAAGAGGACCTTAAAACTTCTATCCGAAATTTGTACAGCCGAGCACAGACGTGCATTACGGCTGATGGGGGTTACTTCGAATAATACTAAATGGCTATGTGTTTAATTTTATTTTCTTCTGAGTTATTCCATGAGTCCTGGAAATTAATAGCCGGACCTTGTATATTTTTCACATTTAAACTCAAAACAAAGAGTTTAAAATTATTATTCCTTCTGTGATTATAACATGTGACTTCTGTTTTTGCTACTAGAAAAAGACCAACTCATTCTTGTAACGTTTCTTTTTTTTTTCTCAAGATTAATTCATTGCTACAAGAAAAGTTACGATATTCCATGACAACTTAAAACTACTTTGAACTTAAAAATAATATTTTAGATTGCGTAATGAAGCTTTATTGCATTTTAAGAACAATTTGTTGTTAAAACTAAATATTTTATAGTGAAGTAAAAATAGAGTTTAAGACTGACATTCAAAATAGAAAGAAAAAAGTTTTGCTTTGGAAAAAACTGCTAAGTAGTTTTATTCTAGTAAATGGTAAAATATTACATAACATCACGCGTTGATGGGAAGAGGTGTAGGGGAGAGCCTTAATTATTGCTGTGAAGAAAAATGAGGAGTTGGGGTGAATTAAATGAGCCTCATATTGAGACGGTATGACTAATACTTAGGAAATTAAAAGAGTTTTATGTTCGAAAAATACAATGTTTGACGTTACATTGTTGGTCATTGTTATCTAAGCAAGTGAAGGATCATTTCTGAGGGCATTTTTCAAATTGAATTTTTCTTAACGCTGCATCGAATAAGATCAATATGAATCATAGATTATTGACAATTTTTATTATCTACATAAAGATTCAGCAAGTTTTAAACGTTATATTTTTTAAATATTAGTTGTTGGCCTTCAATGCAGTTTACATTTTTAAAAAAAATTCATATTTCATTGAGGAGTTATATTTCATGTTGACAGATATGTAGAGTGACATAGATTTAGTAGACATATTATTATAAGAGAGAGATTAACAACTACTTGATTATTTATATTTTCTTCTTTCAATTGATGCGAATAACTTGGCGAGAACAAAACTACCAGAATATGGTAAAATTTGCAGTGTTTCTGGTTCTATGGGATCATCAAAAGCTCGGTAATTTTTACCAAAGCTCTTTAGTTAAATTACAATGAAGTTAAGTTTCATAATATGCGATAAATTTGGATAAACGTGATAAAATTTGGATAATTTGATAATGATACTGAAAGTATAGAATCAAAACCACTTATTCGGTTAAATTATTTTTCAGTTATGTATTTTTTACTAAATGAATGATAATAAGAACTATAATCTTGAACTGTTTACTAGGATATCTGGTAAACAGTTTGTATACGAAAGGAAAAATTACCAAATGAATGGTTTAAATACCGTATAATTTGGATTTTAACACCAGAATTACGCCTTTACCATACATTACCATACGGTGCGGTAATTTTACAAGAATTCTTTTCCACGTGCATAAAGTTAGCAATCGATATCCAGAGTTTGAAAAATCTCTGAAATTTTTAAATGCTCTGTTGAGCTTGTTAGTCTACAAAGTACAGATGTAACTTTAGTTTTTAATGGGTCAAATTACTTTTTGAATCCTTATTAAGGAAAACATATAAACGTACCTATTGTAAATCTGTCGTAAATGAACGTCGCTTACTTTTATATTTACATCAACATTTTAAAGTATAAATCAGAAGTATCATTAACAAAGAAGTATTAATCCCGAATAAGCAGTGATGGAGCTATTCTGGATTGCTCATTGGTTGTTTTGTAAGATTAAGCATTGATACAGTAAACGCTAAATGTTATTATTAACAAGGAAGTATTATATTAATTTTTAAGATTTTCTTTTGTTGAATCCAGTGTTAGCGTTTATTCGTTCAAACTGACATCTTGGCATTTTTGTTACAATTTTATGGGGTTTTAAATCAGTATTTTATGGTATTTTTCATGAAATAACTCTTACCTGCATCTTTACCCTTACCTGCCCTGCCGGGCACATAAGGGTAAAGATGCATGTCCGGAGTACAAAAAATTTTCCTGCTTCCAATAAAAAAACTGGCGTTTTTGAGAATCTCTCATTCTTCTTTGTAGTCTATGAATGGACCATGCCCATTTTTAACGCTTTCGACCTGGTTTGCAAATCGAGGTATGTATCCCGTTATGAAGCTTTTGCACTAGATTAGGAGAACGCAAGCGATAGGCTCAGTCTTTGTTCTCAACTTTTCTCATTGACCTTATTTAGTATTGCAACTTCTTTTAGAAAGAGAACTAAAAGTGTTCCTCTACAAATATTAACGTTTTCGGACTCTTTCGCACTAGTTTTTGAGACCGGACCAGGTACGCTCTTAACACTGTATTAATTAATAAATCATTTTAACCCCTTCCTTCTCGCTCCCGTGAAAATTACGGGTTGAGGTTTCGCTCTCCATTTCTCGCTCCCGTGATATTTCCAGGCTGGAGTGTTCAGTGGTAACACGCCAATAAGAATTAAACTAATTCATTTCTTTTGGCCAGAAATCATATTATGTCTCACTTTACACACCAGAGGGCAGAACCAGGATATTTTTTAAGGTAATTGTAGATAGTTAGTTTATTTTAAACTAGATGTCAGCACTAATCAGGGATACAGGGATAAAAAAATAGGCACTTTTATGACCGTTTTCTTGGAAATTAACCGATCGTTAAGGGGTTAATATTTTACTTTGATAGAGTGCAGATTTTAAGCATAAAATTGCGCTTCTTTCAAAATGATATTTATTTTCATACGCTATTTCTCTTTTGCGTTTAAATAATGATAACTCCTTAGCTTTGAGGAAAACTAAATATGTTGATATATCCTTTTCACAGCAAACTCTGAAGCGTATAGATTGGCTGAACAAGCACCGAAACTCTTCTCAATGTGCTCTGTATGGAGTCAACGAGTTTTCAGATCTAACACCAGAAGAATTCAAAAATTATGGTATGAACATTTTTGGAAAAATATTTAAAATATAAGTATTATACTTGGAAATTTATGCACATCTGATACCGTTGCACTAGTTGTTATTTTTTTCGTGAGCTGTGCACTCAACAATCCCTTCTCTGATAATAAATGAACTTGTTTATGAGTTTTAAGCTTCAGCTCAGTATAACTTTTTTTTAAAATTTAGATTAAGGAACAACCGAAAAAGCTCAAAATAAAAATCATTATAATTGTAAACAAAAATTATTATTGTACTTCTTCTTTCAAATCCCCATTTCTAGCCTAGCTAGACAAAGTCCATGAGTTTGTTCACCTTTAAAAAGTCTAAAACAAGAAAGGGTCTTTCTATATGGTCTTGTTTTAAAAGACCGAGACAGTCCAGTAGATGTTCAGGGGGTGCCTGGGCCGAAGAGCACTTGGTACAGAGGGCAAAACCCTTTTCTCCTCCAGAGTGCCTCAGTGATTTCAGGTGTCCACAGAGGAGACATGTGATGGCGGTTTGAGACTGACGGTCTTTGTCAGCTGTCAAGCAGCTACCCGGTCTGATATCCTGGTACCAAATTATTGTACTAAAAACATCGATAATAATAAAAGGAAAAGTGTGTGTCCGCAAGTGACTCTTATAATTCCAGAACCCTTTGTGTTTAGATTCTGAAACTTCGATATCAGGTGCTAAAAGAAATTCTATTTTCCAATAAAACAAAAATAGCAATGCTAAAATTTTTTTAATGAGTTTAGGTGGAAGGGACATGTGGAATCTCGCATTCTGGCAAATTAAACTGCTGATGATTCTGTTATATCAGTAATTTAAAATACCACATCAACAACGTTGGTTATCTTCTAGCTCTATTTCACCAAAAAACGAGTTTCGTCGGAAATTTATTGCGTGTTCTTCCATATCCATTCATTTTTAATCCATTATCTCAGGTAAGTTCAAGCTGAACGAGCGTATGCTGACGTCAGCGAATTAGTAGTTTGTAAACCATCTGTAACAACATGTATATTTTGTTACCCTATTGAAACCTGTTTCTATAAACCAATATAAATATTATAAAAAAAAAGTTTTTATCTTCTTATCTCCCTGCTTTCTCTTAGCCACCGCCATTAAATGGAGAGTACTTGCTTCGTAATTGGTCAGAAATAGTTCTACCGAACTTAGCCTTTAATGTCAAGCATTGGAGTTGTCACGTGACGAAGAACATTTGAAATGTTTCAGTTGAATCAAGAAACGGACATTTTTTAGAAAAAATAGTGCAGAAAATTCTAGTTTGATCAAATATTGCACAAGGCTGTCTTCGATAGTGACCCAATGTTACAGTTGAAGTAAGAAACCGCTCACCATCAAATAGCAATCGAACGAGTTCAAAGAAATCGAATCGAAAAAGCACGTTTCAGTTCCATACGAGTGTTTGACAAAAATACAGTTACTAAAAATATAAACATGTTCATAAAAATGCCGTAACACCAAGCACTTTCGTATTTAGTAAAAGCGTATCCTGTTTCTTAAAGTAAATAGTTTTTACATTTAAATTTCTGCTCTTTGTTTATTTGATTAACATTATAATTTTAATTGCATGCCTATGATTCTGAATGCTTTGGTTTGTAACTCGCAAAATATTTAAACCTTAAAAACTTATTTCAGCCTAACATTTCTTCTTACAAATTTTAGTTCATCTTCAAAAGTCTACAACAGATGCGCGGAAAATTTATCCATCCAAAACCAAGCTTCTGAAGTCAAGTTTAAACATAAAAAATTTACCAAAACGGGTTGACTGGTAATTATACTATTTATTATTTCTTAAATATTAGTTTGAACTATTTAAGTTATCTTTTCTCGATTTCTAATCATATTTGCTTCCATCATGACTTGGAATTATTTTTTTTAATTTTGCACCAATATTTATTAATTTTTGCTTGTTTTAAGACAACGCATTTGTAAATACTCTTTTCGTTTTATTAGGAGAGAAAAGAATGTTATAACTACTGTAAACAACCAAGGGCAGTGTGGAGCTTGTTGGTAAGTTTGTACACTTTAAACTTAATGCGTTAAATTATTATGCAAATGAAGTGCTCTTATATGAGTTTTCAGAAAAAATATGCGATTCATGAGCTGTTGGTTTTGTAAAATGTTTTGTAAAATAAGAATAATTTTATCATGCTTAGAATAGTATTTTAAGCATATTAGTAGGTTAGTATTTTAATTTAAATCATTACTAACATACGGTGTGAGCCGCGATTGCTCAGCCTTCCAATGAGGTGAACCGGGTTCGATTTCGGCGATGGCTGGTCGATACGAATTCCGCATCCGACTTGTACCGACCACGGTGCTGATGTGAAATATCCTCAGATGTAGGTATAATGTAGATGAATAGGGTAAAAAAGGCAGGAAAAAAGTGCACCGTCGAAATAAGACCACTTCTGAGTATAGCTAAAGTACCAACCACATTTATATACTACTTGAAATATGCAATGTTGGAGACTTAAACTGCTCCTTTTCGGTACATCGAACCCTTCTGAGATAGGCCCCCTCCTCCGTTTCCTCATGAATTAAAGATAAAAATAAAAAACTACAATTAAAGATAAAACCACCACTGTGAAGATCGTTCATTGTAAATTGAGGCATTGTCTACTGGAAAATCTGTCTTAGATCATCAATTCTCTCTACAAATAGAAATAAATGGATTTCTAGCAGTATTTAGTAATCCATAGACTTCATGATACCAGGAAAAAAAGTCATATTATATTTACGACTATGGCCGCATTTTCCCCACACCATTAATAAATCTTCACCTAGCTGTCTATTAGAAAAGGTTTTTCTTTTGTTTTCCTCATCTACTCTGTTTTATTTTATAGATCATACAAAGAATTTGCGACATTAAGGAACTAAGTAGTAGGCGAGAGGGGGGTATTGTATAAATTTTTCACTAATTTGCCAAAAAACCATATCTAATACAATTAAATCATGAAATATTTTTTAGCAATAATTTGGACGCTCACCTGAATGCTGACTTATACCAAGAATTACAAACTTGTAATTTTTTTCCAAAATTATTTTTTTTCTTTAAAGAAAAAGTTGTTTTTGGCCACACTAGCTCCACTACACGGGGCTAGCATAGCTAGTGTGGAAAAGCCATGGAGCTAGTGTGGAAAAATTTGGTAACTTAAGTAGCAGTTTATTACAACTCAGACAAGTATATCTAAAGCTAAAATTAAATTAATTTCAATCTAAACTTTATTGAAGAATAAACATTGACATATTTTAATCAAGATACTAATTTGTAATAGAGTATTTCACGATAATAAGAAACACATTTTGGATACAAAACCATACAGTTACAAACTATTATTCAATTTGACTTATTTGAAATCTCAGAACCAATTTTAAAATGAATTAATAACCATTGTTTTAACTTGATTATGAAATGATCCGAATAGACAACACACGGCTTGCATGACGTGATCACCGCAGGTTGACCTTGTTGTTGTTGTGTTGTTGTTGTTTCTAATGCCATATGCCACACGGGCCATCCGGCATGGTGAGACTGAGCAAATTTAAGGCAAAGTGCGCGTTCCTTGTTTTTCAGTGGCGCCATCTATGGCCAAGAATTCGACTTCCACCAAACCATACGTCACACCCGTTTATAGGGTGGACCCATTCATTCATCCACTGGATCCACAGATCGTAATTTTGACCTGAATCAGAGAACGATCGGTCTCCAATCCAGTACCCCCAGATGTATTGATTTGTTATGGGAACATGGAGGACTTTTGCGACTCGACAGATTTAACGTGCATCAGTCACTTTCCTACACGGGGAGTCTTCGGCCCCTCGGGGTTTGAACCCACGAACTCTCAGAAATGGGCCCAGCTCCCTACCGACCTGGCTATCCCGGCTCCCTGGTTGACTTTTAAAAACCCCTACGATGCAACGTGCATGACTATGATAGTACCTTAACTAAACAGCTCTTAAAATAGAATACTGGACCGTTTAGTGATGTTCTGTTTTAGTTTAATGTATGGCAAAAAAATAAATCTATATTAAAAAATTATTTTTCTTCTTTAATTCGCCCATGTTGAATCATATCCAACTGACAAGCTTGATAAAGCATCTCACTTAAATTTTCGTAAAGTCTTTAAAAAGTGGATTAGTTTAAAGGTTCCTAGATAAGTTTTTTACTGGAAATTAAAACCACTATTTTTAAAGGTATATCATTCTGCAAAATCATTAAAATTTATAAAATAAACGACATGAAGTGTGCTACATTTGTAACCAATTCATATTTCGGCCCTTAGAAATTGAATGGCACAAATGTGGGCAGGTCCACACTAGTCCCACGAAGACGCGTGTTTGTTCACGTGTTATGCAGAGTAAAAGTTAATATAAAAATGGATAAAAGCGGTATAATTTTTATCATATTTTCCTCTTTTGTTAAAATTTCGAAAATAAAATGTGTTAATAAACCAATTAAGAGGAAATTTGAAAATTCATTTTGCAAATTTCAACTGAAGTGTTCACAGAGTGATTATGCAGCTGCACATGGAAAGTGTACGTTAATGTTTCCAATCAACGACATTTCATAGAAGAAATTTGACCAGTAATTCAAGCAAGGTGTCCACTCTAGCCCCATTTGCATGCTACCTCCCCTAACTTAAAGTGAAAGCTATCCTCAGTCATAAAAGAAAAGGTAAAAAAAGAATTTAGAGGATCCGTGCGCCAATGATATGGCGTGAGAAAAAAGAGAATGATTTCTTTTCTATTACGCAGCAAGGTGGAGGAGCATTGATTGTGTATGAAAGCTACAGCTATAATGATCAACTTAACTTGGGACCATGTCTTGCTGAAAAACCTTTTTGTTACAATATGTAATCTGAATCAGTTGCCCAAGCAAGATTTTTCATCAGGATAATGCTTCAATTTACGTCGAAAATATTTCGCATTGGTGGTTTTGGGATAACTGGCTGCTTTTCATGAACGGCATATTCTTAAATTTAACTTCATTTTCCAAGAAAATCTGAGGGGGCTTTTCTCAGTAGAGTTTAATATTCCAAAAAGGGGTGGTATCAGTTTGTGGTTGAATTAAAAGTTACCAGCTTTGAATTTTGACATAATATTGATGCTTCAGGTATTGATACGTGTTAAGAAACATAGTATATTTCAAGTCTTATATGAAAGTGACTTTATTTTTTAAGGCTCACTTTTTTTTCATTCTTTTTCAATTGTTTGATTTTTTTCTGTTTTGGGAGAGCAAGAAGAATTTGCTCTTGAGAATATGTGTTCGGACATCGACTTTATTATTATGCTTGTTTGATTCACATTGGTTTTCTTTGCTTCAAATTATAGCACAAAATCGAGGTCGCTTTATTTAAGTGAGACACTCCGTATCTGCAAATTACACTAGTATATTGTGTAAGCTTAACTCAGACTTCTGACTTCCCGAATAAAATATCCAGATTCTCACCTCATCTTTTCAGACAGTTCTCCAATTTTTATTGCAATAATAAAACGTACTTTGTAAAGATAATAATTACTATTTGGAATATATTTCGAAGATTACTTAATAATTTTTTTCTGAACTTATGTAAGTATTTCCAAAAAATGAAATTAATTTGAAATAAGTAAACTGAGTTGAAAATCCTGCTGCTGTCAAAGTAACATGGTAACCACAAATCAGTAAACCAGTGCGACATTAATTGGTAAGTTCCGAATGTCGGTTTTTGCAGGTGAATTTGCTTGCTGTTTTTGGCATACCCTGACAGATACCCTAATTAGATTTTCGGGATGCAGAAAATCCTCAGCGGCCATGTCGTATGATTATGCGGCATGTAAAAGATCCCTGGAGTGCTTTATTGGCTCTTGGCATTTCCGGCAAAATTAAATTCCTAGAGCACTTTAGAATCCAAATAGAGTCTCGGTGCTGCCATCCAGTGTGGCAGAAACTAGACGTCCAAATTAACATGACCAACTGTATCTCACCCATTGCGGTGGTCCTGAAAGAGTGGATACCACCTCTGAAGAACGCATTAGGTCTGCTCAACGGCAAGACCGATTGTGCATCTCATTGGAAATTTAAAAAAAAATAATAATAATAGCTGCAATCAAACAAATTTGATCCCAAAAGTTTAGCTAGCGGAAAGGTAGTCGAAAGCTTTAACCTTCTTAATATTATTTTCATTTTTTAAATATTTTACTTATCGCTTAGAACTAGTTGAGAAAATCAAAAAATTAAATAAATAAATAAATAAAATGATTTACTCTTATTTCTGAAAGTCATTCATCAATTGATAAATTCATGCAAAAAAATTTTTAAGAACATTCATTAATTTTTCTTTATTGAATTTATAAATACTCGAAGAATTTTTAAATTTTAAAGGCCGTCAAATTTTTGCTCATCTCATATGTTATAATTTTGAATGACAAAATACAAAGTTTGACCGAATGAGAGCGTCATTTTCTGAGAAATAAAATTTAAAATGAAAGTCATATTTCCAAATTCTAATTTTTAGAGAATTTTTTAACTAATATTATATATATATATGTCAGGGCCGGTACGCGGGGCCCTAGGCCATTCAAATTTTTGGGGCCTTTAGATTAAAATTTTTCAACTAAAAAAATTATCGTACTTTATTAACATATATTTGAAATTGATTTTTTTTTAAGAACTCATTATTTTTCTTAATTTTTTTAAATTTACTTTCAATAGATAGATAGATAGGTATTTACTTTTGTGGTTATTACCATCCTCTATCAGCTCTCTTATCTAATTTGCGATAGTAGCTTAGTGTGCGCCAACATTTTCTTAGATCATCATTAGGGGATGAATCCAAAAATGTCACCAATATCTCATTAGTGTAGCTCCTGTGCAAGATCATACTTAAAGAAATATGTTGTACGTAATATCAAAAGACATCTACATCCTTTGTCTTTAGTTTTTAGGGTTAATTATTTTATAATTGTATTTCAATTTAGTAATTTAGTTTGAATTAGCTCATAAATTAGTTATTCAATAATTATTATTCATTAAAAAATAGTTTCAGTAGCTGGTCCTAACATTTTTATACTATTCTTGCACCGTGAAGGGCTTTTAGTACAGTGGAGACAATTGAAAGCATGAATGCATTGAAGAATGGCGCATTAGACAGCTTTAGCGTCCAGCAAGTACTGGATTGTGCAGCGTCTCCAAACAATGGTTGTGCTGGTGGTGACACTTGCCTTGTTGTAGAATGGCTGTATAAAGTAATTCTAATCTGTACATTTTTTTATATTTTTATTACTGCATTTTATTTACTAACTCTTTTGAAGTACTGAGAGTAAAGTGCATTTTGATTAGGTTATCATTAGCTGTATTGTAAGTATTTTGTCCTACTAATTATTGTACTCTCTGAGGAGTAAAATTCTGCCTTTTGACGATTCAGTAATCATTGAGCTATATTTCATGAATTCTCAGAATCATTTCCTCGCGAAATCGCGTGATTTGTGACGGAACACAAACTCTCAAATATATGACGAATATGTTTCCTCAACTCGAAACCTAATCGTTGTACAATGTGGGATATTGTTAACTAGAATGACGAAACTAGAATGTACACTAAACTATCAAACATAAAGTGACATTCGGGCTATACGGTTGTCAAGGTGTTGGTCTCAATTCATGGTTTCGAATCCCGTTGGGCATGTGTGCAATTTATCGCTCTGTTCTGTCTGCTCTTGTGTTGCTTAGCCGACATTTATTCACCTATCCCATTGTAGTGATTATTTGAAAAGTTAGATACATTAAGCATAACAAGTTTTTTTTTTTTATTTCTTTAATTTCGACAAAATTTGTTTCCTCGAATAGTTATTTCGTCACTTTGACGAAATTTTCACTCGGAACATACACAAAGAAACAGTTCCTTCAAAGACGAAGAAAGTTTCCTGAAGTTTCAGCATTCTTTTTTTACCGTATTGTAGAAAGCAAAAAAATCACCAAAGTCTTTTTTCATTCTTTCTGGCAATAAGTTTTGTTTTACTTGAATTGATATGTTTTCTTAAATATATAAGTTTCTCTTTAGTTTTTGGATCCCGAAAGCTTTAGGAAAGCTTTAAGAAAGATTTCTTTCTAATATAAAAATGAAGAAAAAAACACGAGTCTAATAGTTTTATTCGACATTGGAAATGTGACGAATTCAACGAAGTCAAACATGTAAACTATCTTAAATCACCTAATTAAAACAAAAAATTGACTTTACTAAAAGAGCAATTTATCTTCTTGGGTCTCTTGTCAACATTAACTAGCATATTATAAAAACACGCCACAAGGAATTCGTATGAAAATCCATACAACCTTTTTGTTAATTTTCCATTTAATATGCATCTTAATTTCATTTGCTGGTTTTCTGTTAATTTTAAAAAAATTTTTAGAGTGGAACCGAAATTGTTCTGGAAAAAGATTATCCTTTTGTTGGAAAAGATCAAAACTGTAAAAAGAATGTAAAGTAAGTAAAATAGTATAATAGGAATAATTATAGAAATAAATAATTCTTGAACATGACTTTATGTGAAATTTTTAAGCGTAAATAATCTTTTTACAGGTCAGAAAAATCTGTGAAAATTGCCAGAAATTTTACATGTGATAGGTATGTACAAAATAAAATTTTGTTTCGTAGACGAAGATTTTATTGTAAAAAATGCGAAATATGATTTTAAATTAAACGCAATAAAAGTGAGTTTAATGAATTTATAATTATATTTTATTTTTGATAACGGTTAAAAATCAATTAAAGGAAAACGGGTGGAGGTAAAGATATAAAGTTTGTTGCATTCTACTTAAGAAACAAGTGATTTTTATGGTAACAAATTTTAAAAATAAGTTACAAAGTTAAAAAACAGATGGTGCTTCTGAATGCAAAAACTTTAAAACAATGATTTCTGTTGCATGCGAGAACATTCCATATGTAATAGACGTTGGTTAAATAAAAGTGAGTAAAGCGCAATAAAAGTGAGTTTAATGAATTTATAATTATATTTTATTTTTGATAACGGTTAAAAATCAATTAAAGGAAAACGGGTGGAGGTAGAAATATAAAGTTTGTTGCATTCTACTTAAGAAACACGTAATTTTTATGGTAACAAATTTTAAAAATAAGTTACAAAGTTGAAAAACAGATGGCGCTTCTGAATGCAAAAACTTTAAAACAATGATTTCTGTTGCATGCGAGAACATTCCATATGTAATAGACGTTGGTTAAATAAAAGTTAGTCAAGCGCAATAAAAGTGAGTTTAATGAATTTATAATTATATTTTATTTTTGATAACGGTTAAAAATCAATTAAAGGAAAACGGGTGGAGGTAGAAATATAAAGTTTGTTGCATTCTACTTAAGAAACACGTCATTTTTATGGTAACAAATTTTAAAAATAAGTTACAAAGTTGAAAAACAGATGGCGCTTCTGAATGCAAAAACTTTAAAACAATGATTTCTGTTGCATGCGAGAACATTCCATATGTAATACACGTTGGTTAAATTTATCTTTGGATTGCTGCTCTTTTATTTTTATACTCTTTTGCATTAGGTACTTGCTTCAAAAATATTGTTTTGTAATTGTTGTTCTATTACATTGCCCTGTTGACGAAATTTTATACTGATTTAGAAACTTGGCTAGAAACTTGGCTTCTGAGAAGAATGCATAAACTGAGTAGTTCTATTCCGAAAATTTTTCATTGATTTCTTTAAATCGTAGATCATTTCTGTAACCTATGAATAAAATACATATTCCTTATACATTTGCTCTAAGTGTGTATGGTCACCTTTGAAAACATTTAATGTCTTATATGTACTTTCCACCACACGATAACTGAGTGGCTAAGCATTGAGTTGTCATTTTGTAAGACGCAGGTACAATCCCATAGGAGTTGCGAAACCCAACCAGTTTCAGATTTATAGGAATAGCAACTAATAGTAACTGGTCTTGGAAATAAGCTGACCTCATAACCCTTCCTCATACCATTGGTCACGAAATTGTGGAGCCTTAACCTCCATGATCTCTTAGTTGTGTATCTCTTAGTTGAGAGATAAAATGACCAACTCATTTTAGCTTAACGGTAAAATACAAGCAAAACATCAATAATCCAAAGGTCAATAATCCACAAAAACATACCAACATAGGAAATTCATAAAAAAAAAAACATTACGTATTTAATTAATTTTGTTAAATTATATTTTTTGTTATCTGTTCTCAGCAAAATAACATAAACGGTAAAAGAAATTCATTCCATAAAATTTATCAAAATAGTGCTTAAGGACCTTTTAAGAAATAGAAAAGAAGGAAAGGAGGGAAGGACCGTGCAATTGGTTTTTAAAAAATTCAAAAATCTTATTTAAGAACGTTAACTAAATTTCAATTAAAAAATTGGAAAATGTCTGAACATTAAGTGTCAGTACGTAATTAATAAATCACTCATGAGCTGCAATAGCTGCACAACCCAAAAAATCAAGTTTTGAGATAAGTGGGTTTAAAGCTTTTATGGCTAAACAAAATGCATAAGAAATGCTTTAGTTTGCTTAAATGAAGATTACCTTTAAGTTGAATTATGAGTTGTGCTAGTATTGCTGCTGAAAAGAATGTGTATTTTCATATTTACACCTGTTCTTAGTTCAAAACGCGTGTTTTTTGAGTTGAGCCACTATTGCAGCTGATGAGCGAAATTACTGAAACTTATGAAATATTTATTAATAAATTAAATAACAAATTAATAACGTATGAATTAACACACTACTCATAATGAATGAATGAGCATGTTTTGTTTATAGGTTCGAAATAAATTTATTTTAATTTGTAAGTACCTCGAATAAATGTCTTTGAAACATTCATGAATTTATTAATGCAGTGCCATATAAATGTCAAATATTTCATCCTCTATTTATGTATGACAGATACATGGTACTTAAAGTCACTTATTCGTACTCGCAGCTTCGTAGGTGAAGAACACTTAATGCTGTTACACATTGCTCATCATGGACCTCTTATAGTTGCCGTAGATGCTACAGGATGGCAAGACTACTTGGGTGGAATAATTCAGTACAACTGTGATAATGAAAGAAATCATGCTGTTCAAATAGTAGGATATGATATTTCAGGTATGTTACATTTCGCAATGCTTCAAAAGAGGAATAATCTAGCAACAAGGCATAAAATCAATGAAATACGAAATAATTAACAATTTCATAAAATTACGCTTTGGATCATAAACGAATTTTTATCTCTCTCTGGTTATTTCAGCTTCCGTTTTTAAAAGCGCTATATGTTGAGCCACCTCAGCTAGATTTGGCATGTGACACTTTTAGCGGCAATCATTGGTCGATTTTCTAGCGTTGCCATTCGGATTGTTGTAATGAGGCTTTTTTTTGCCGCCGTGTAAGAGAAATATATATATATAGATGGTATTGTTTTTCCAGGATCCTCTCCCTGTTAGTGAGGAGTATTTCTTGTATTCAAGGAAAAAAAGGCCGATATTTTCAAACACTGACCGGCAAGTTGAGGTGCTCAAATTTCAAGTTCATATACATATAAAACAATTTTATGCATATTTTGTTTTTACAAAATTAATGCTTAAATTAGTTATTGATTTAAATTAATTATTATTTCAAAATCAACTTGCGAAATTTTGGACCACACGATGTTTTGCCAACGCAAAGTTTTTGTGAGGCGAAGTTTTGGCACATTAGCACTTAAATGTTACTAAAAATTAATATGAAAATTCAAATTTTAATATTTTTTTTATTTCCAATGAGCTGCATTATCGGTCTTGCCGATGAGCAGACCTAGTGCGTTCTCCAGAGGTGGTATCCACTGTTTCAGGACCACCACAATGGGTGAGATACCGTTGGTCATGTTAATTTGGACGTCTAGTTTCTGCCACACTAGATGGCAGCACCGAGACTCTATTTGGATGCTAAAGTGCACTAGGAATTTAATTTTGCCGGAAATACCAAGAGCCAGTAAGGCACTCTAGGGATCTTTTACATGCCGTATAATCATACGACATGGCCGCTGAGGATTTTCTGCATCCCGAAAATCCGGTGTCTGGGCCGGGGATCGAACCCGCAGACTTGGGCTCAGAAGGCCGACAACAAACCAACTGCGCCACCCAGAAATTTTAATATTATTAATCAAATATTTCATATGTTCAAAATGTTGATGAGCAAATGCTTATACCTAACTTATGAAAATAAGCTCCGCACTTCTTTACATTGCGAAAAATGTCTGGTTAAGTCAATCGAAATTTGACGAAAATATTTTTGACACATAATAGTTTTAAATAATAGTATAGAAGTTTTTGACAAATAAAAATGTTTTTGCGGTATAAAAATGTTGCTAAAAAGTGTGCTTTTAAATTTGGGAGCGTATTTCATTAAATCAAACATTAATACAAAGGTTACTTTACTTTTCTTTACGCTAGCATCAACGCAAGTATCAACTTATCTTTTACGCTAGTATCAACTTATAAAGAGTATATTTTATTTTATTTAATACATGCATTGATTGCACGCAAATAATGTTCATTTTTATTTATTTTTTTACAAATGATTCCACTGAAAATGAATCACAATTGTGATGCTTAATGAAAAAAAATGAAATTTCTGTATTTTTTTAGAAAAAAACTAAGAATTTGTTTGAATTTATGTTCTTATATTTAATATATATAGTATATGTTTCTAATCATAATGAAATTATATGCTTGTTTTAGTTTCCCTTATTCCGACAAATTAAAAACTGCATGCTTTTGTACATTTAGGTGAAATACCTTATTACATTGTACGCAACTCATGGGGAACTCAATTCGGAAATAATGGTTACCTTAATATTGTCATTGGAAAAAACATGTGTCGTAAGTATGCTTGAAAAAAATATTTGTTCTATATTATAACATTTATAATAGTTCGTTTCTGTACCTCTTTTTTCTTATGTGCTATTATTGTATTTAAGAACATAATAGGTTACCTTAAAAATATTTAGTAATTAAAAGATAAGTTTCTTAATTCGTAATGAATATATTTGGGTTTCCAAAAATTTATAAATAAGGGAAGGTGTAAGACCAGTTCCTCAATTCTGTCGATATCAGTTCTGTTTTCTAGTGCACAAAATCTGAATTACATTTACTAGTAAAAAAAAAAGTACCTACCATATAAAGGTGTTGCTGTTGATTAGTTCATATCGTCTGTGTAGATTAAGTTTTTTTTTACTATATCAATGTTCTTATGTTTTTGAACTAGCCTTTTTTATTGGTCATTACAGTTACAAAAATTGCTTTAGTTCAGCTTATTATATGTTTACTTAAGATTCATATTTTAATAAGCAATAGGGATTTAGTCCAATAACAGTTTTGTTCTGTTATGTTTTGATAACCTCTGCACTCCGCCCCCACCCTCTTGATGTGAGTCTCGGCCTGGACTCAGAAAGTTGCAGTGCGGAGGAGAAAGAAGATAACTACATTCAATGCTGAAAAAATGTTTCACGGGTGCCAGGACAAATTTTATTACAGGCTCCCTCTTAAAAGCGCAAAAAGCTTGACATGGTCGATAACTCCGCCCCCCCCCACATTGGTGGCCACCGGACATGATTTGAACACGCAGTAACTCCCACTTCAATCTGTTAACGCCTACTTCGTTAGATGATCCACATTGAACAGTTGACTTGATACTTGTGACTGCAACATTATCCAATCCTCCTCACGCTGTTGCTACTTAGTCTCGTCTCGATTAAACAAAACGACTGCCTGCATACACTCGACTGCTAATGGCAACACAGGAGCGACTACGACTGTGAAGTTAATACACCTATCACATTCAGCACTCAAAAACCCGGTGACCTTAAAAAACCAGCTCTCCCGGTCTTTCACAAGTACTGCAACTGGTGGTATCCGTTCATCGAATTCTATCCCTGATAAAAATTCTGGTGGGGGTGTATTGTGGCGTAACTACCACTACGAAAATTAAAACATCAATTCACTGGTATATAAGACATGCTAACTTGATTCAATCACGAGGTACCTTTTGATAGATGAAGGTTGGCATTGTCCATAACTCCGCCCCCACAAATTTTTAACGTAATAAGGCAATAATATAGAATTAGATTACAATAAAGAAACAACTCTTTTAGTTTTAAACTCTTAAGTTTAAAAACAATCAAAATCAAAAACTTCATAATAGTAGAGTAGAACAAGAGAAATAAATATTACAGGTAAATACTTTTAAATTAGGGATAAAAAAATATTTTACAGGAAAACGGTGTCGTTGATATTTTATTAATTTCATGCTGATGTCAACCAAATGTAAGGAAATTAATGTGGGAAAACTGGATTATATTCTGTGATTTTTCAGCAAATAAAAATGCACCGTTAACAATGGGAAACGATGTTAGACCATTATGTTTTTTTTTTTATTTATCGCGACACGTTTGTCCTCATTCATAACATGTCCTACATATATTTTTATTAATAAAGGTGTTTTTCGAAGAAATTTGATGATCAGAAAAAATAACAAATTAACATGTTCGTAAATTCGCATTTATGTAAAAATTTTAAACAAGCAATGAAAATGTAAGGGTACATGTCAATACTTTTAGTTTATTTCAGTAAATAAATTGGTTAAAACTATTATTTATTTACATTTTCGTAAAATCTTATTACTTATTTTTCAATATTAAAAAATTTGATAGACATTATATAAATATAATCTTCTTTTTTTAAATTATCTCTTCGTATAAACAATTTGTACGAAACAATTTGTAAACAATTTGTACTAAATCTATTTCAACAAGCTTTTTACTGCATTTCTATACATTTTTGTCTCATATCATTTCAGGTATAGCTGAAGAAGTTACAGCAGTAGATGTTTTATAAAATTATGAAATAGTGAAGACTTTTTTGCTTAATCACATATTATTTTTAATGCTACTTAAGAAAATTATGCTGGTTTAAAGACTTTAGCATTTACATCATATTTTTCACTGAAAATAAAACTTTTTTTTTAATATTTTATAACCATTTTTTGTCATATAAAATGCATGATAATTAATTTATATTCAACATCCATATCATTTTCTACATTCTGCAGTTATTTATTTGAAGAAACTTGTCATGTGGATTTACTTTATGGGATTTTCCTTATGACGTTTACATTATGAGGATCTACCTTTTGTGAATGTTTCATAAACATATTCTAAAAACATAAAAATATTTGAATACACCTATTTTTTGAAATTTATTGATTGTAATGCATTTAATAAAATTGATTGATATGAACAATTAAAATTGAAAATTAACGTCATTTAAGGTAAATAGAAAAAAAATTGTTCTACCTATTATAGACGAAGTTATTAATTTAAACGTTAATGATAACCTACATTAGTGGATTAATTTCAAATTAGCAAGAAAAAGGTTTATTAAGAATAATAAATAAACTTTACATATTTCTTAAAAGTTGAGGTTATATTTTGTATAAGGCATTTATAAAAAGCATGCTAGTTTTATTATCAGTAACAAATTAAACAAAAATAGAATGAATTTATAAATTTAATATAAATTGGTAAATTGTTTTGAAGTTTTAAATTTACATTTTTATGGATTTTGAATTTGTAAAGCATTTATTATTTTATTTTATTTTTATCACTTTTGTTCAAGGAAAAACTTTTTATCGTTTTTATGTACATTTTAATACGGAATCAGACATTCCATACTTTTTGTGACGGTAGCATTTTTATATTGAATACTGTAAGTTTTTTTTCCTCATATAATAGTCTGTGTTTAATAATTTATTCATTTGAAACGAATCTTTTTAAAAACCTGAAGTGGAAAGATACAATCCAATAAGAACTTTAAGCTTCATGAAAACTGAAAATAGAAAGGCATGTTTCGAGCACTGAAACACGGCGCTCGTTATCAAGATTGGTGACGGCAAAACAGGTTAGAAATAAGAAAAGGAATAGTTTACGAATAACAATAGTAAAAGGAAAATATTGCGAAAAATAATAACTACGGTGGTTATGGAGGTGAAGGTACCGATGCCTCTTCGACCATCACAATTTCTTTTTCTCACATAATTTCGATTTCCATTTTTTCCAACAAATGTGCTTTTTTTATTTAAAATATCTCATTAAGTTTACTTGTAGCTTTTTCAAGGGTTGTTTCCTTGAGAATGAGAGCCGAGGTCAAACGTTCCAACCATATCGATTTTCTGAACCACATTTTTATGAATTTCTAGATTTTTTTTAAATTCTTGTTAAATTTCCTTCATTTATATGTTTACAACAGTTGTGTTCAACTTCGACTAATCACCTACATATGATTTATTTTGCCAGTTGCTATGATAGATAAGTACTATAATATGTTGTAATACCTACTTGTTTATATTTAAATAGAAATAAATGTCTTACCATTGTATTGTAATTACTACATTATTTTTGAAATTTGTTTCAATTTTTTTGCAACTGATAGAGTAAAAGTGATGAAAAGCTCATTGAGGAATAGAAATTGCAACTGTAGTAGATCAGAAGCAAAAATTTTTTAATGTAAATATTTTGCATGATGCTTACATTAAAAAATATACTTAATGCTATTTAAAAATGATAGAAAATCCTTTAATGTAAGTATTTTGCATAATGTTTACATTAAAAAAATTCTACTTAACGTGATTTATCGATCGATTCCTAAAAAAAGAAAAGTAAATTCAGACTACTTTGTCGCAGTTAATAAGAAAAGTTACTCATTAACAGAGTCAGTTAATGAGTAAAATTAATAAAATTAATATAAAGTTTCATCAACAGCGTCAGTAAATTATTACCACTTACTTCCTTTTCGTGGTAAAAACAACGTTTACCAATTAAGTCAGCAGTGATTTCTCAGCAACAAATTGCATTCTCCGTAACTTTTTTTAGAAGCATTTAGCAAATTACAAATTTGTCTCTTTTTATTCTATTTATTTATTTCTTTATTCTATTTATTTGTTTTTTTTTATCTATTTACCCACTTCTATAAAACTTAACTTGCGAATAAACAATTTAGGTAATTATGATTAATGATGAGTGCAAAATGTTAACGAGATATAATCTATAAAACCGAACACCTATTACAAATGAAAATGGAATTTATTTTGTTTAAAAGTAATTGCAAAAAGAGTCAATATAGTTGGCTATAGATTTAATTTCGATTTCAGTTTCATTTTCTAATGCTCTTTAATTGAATCAAAATACTGGCATCCGCTCGATTTATTCTTCAAAATTTCGTGTCCTGATTCAAATTTACATAACGAACGTTTTCTATCACGTGACCAGCAGGACAGTTTGATTTCGATGGCGAAGTTACAGTGAAATGTCTCTGATCAATCACAAAGCTGATAAAGTTCCTTTAATGTAGGTAATAAGCAAAATCAGGGGGATAGAAAGAAAATATCTTGGCAAACTGTTTAGTTCAACAATTGACAGTTTTATGCAAATAATAAGCTACATGAGGAATGTGATACTATTTTCTAATTTAGATACAAATATATATCGAATTATTTATACAATAATTTTGGGATCGAAATCCAAAACTACGATTCAATATACATCAGTAGTCGCTACTAATTAAAGCTGGTAATTTATTACTACAGGTTAATTGCAATTACGTTCTTAAAATATTGCACTTGATTCACGCTTTTCAATTTTTCTTGATAAGCGTTTTTTTTTATGTAGAAATAATTTGAAATAATAGACATATAGAGAATTACAAATTTTTATATAATGAGAAGAATGTAGAAAAATGCTTTCATGACATTAACAAAAATTTACAATTCATAATCGTGAGAACTTTGAAAAATTTGTCTAAAAATGTCCTACATATGAAAATTTATCATCATATAAAATTTATCGTCATTTAATATCCAAAATTTAATCAAACAATTATTCACTTCTACTGTAAAACAATTTAAAAAATAATGTAGTTAATACTGTAAAATATTTGAAGAGGTTTAGTAATATACCAGATGATTACAGGAACGTATAAGACGTTACTCTGCGAACAGACGCGAATTCAAAAAGCATAGTTAAAAATGCTTCCCAACCCACATTTGCTAAAATGGCTTCGAATTTTTTTCATTGGCGAAGGAATAACGCATGAATTATCAAACACATGAATTTTCAAAAAGCACACATTAATTATCAAAAAAGATAAGCTTAATCTAGGGGTAACCCTTCTAATTCAATTTTGACGTAATATTACAATTGAATTGCAATAACCGGTCGCAATCGAACAACAATCGAAAGTGTACACGAGATTCGAATCGCAGGTTCGTTTTTCAGTTGCAGAAGGGTGCAAGTCGACAGAGATCTACCGCAGTCCAAAAAGAAGGCCTCTTGGAGATTTTTCTTGTTTCTATTTATGCTTGTTTTATTCCCTGTGGTGATACGTGACAGGAATAAGTACTTTACCTGAAAGTACTGCAACAAATGATTCGGTCATGCAGCCATTTTGAGAATCTTTTGTCCCTCCAGAAGTAGATGCAGAGACTACTGCATGAAACTCTTTCAGAACTGCCGGTAAGTTTTGATAATAGCAAGCACGGAGACAGGACAAACGGTCACCTTATCACAAATTTCACCTCTGTGATTTATTGTTCTCAATTCAAGCTTTCAATTCCTACAATTACAACAGGCTTAATTCCTCGATAGGCCTGTTCCATGTACGCGTTATCTCGCTCGGTTAAACTCCCGTTGCAGAATTTCTTCTGCCACTTGTGGATATTTGTCAGAGACATATAATGTTCAATATATGCATCATATGTGAAGATGAATTTCACGTGTCAACCATACTAAGCCACAAGAAAACAAACCACACTTCTTTTTCTTGCTTGCCTCCATCTTTATTCTTGATGCCGGCCCGTAAACGAATTTCTTTCTCAATTCAGACCATCAATCCGTGCAACTACAAATATTATGTTGCGTAATTTCTCCATAAACTTTATCAAGGAACTAATTGTCTCGCACGGATATGTGCCTGTCGCAGAATCTCTTCTGCTATTCGTGATTTTGCGTATTCCAATCCCATCAAGAAACAAACCTCACTTTTCTTCTTTTTTTCTTTCTCTTTTTTGCTTTTATTTTTACTGCTTGACGAACACATTTTTTGTAGTTTGCATCTCTAGAGCAGTAAACAACTATATAAACTTGTATGTAGTTCTCTTATCCTACAGATGGTAGCATAGATACGTTTATCTCAGTTTGATGTGAATGGCGTGAGTTCGATTTTCATTTGATCGTCTGAAATACTTTTAAGTATGATCATTCTCTTTCGTTAGCTTTTTAAATTTAAATAATTAATTAAATACACTTTGACTCAAATAGGATATATTGCACTCTTCTAAAAACCTACTTTTTAATTTTTTGTTTTACATTTTCTTAATAATATCTCGAAATTTCACAGCAGTTACAGCAAATAATAAAGAGCTCTGTAACATACAGCACAAACGAACCTATAATAGAAAATCTTGTCCTTTTTCCTATTTGTAAAAATTTTTTTTTGTAGATTTATCAGGATATCGACAAAATATGTAGCATAAAGGTTTTATCAATATCTCTCTTTTTAAAATTCTTATAAGCTCAAACAGCTGATTTTTTTCTTTTGAATAAAGAAAGAACTTTTCGAAGCTTGCTCAGAATTTTCAAATACAAAATCCTTCTCACAGTACACTTACAGAATTGGATTATCTACAGAATGAGATTATAAATAATCGTGAACTTTATACTGAAGCATTTATTTTGAAGAATAGTTTGAGGTGCTGCCCTCACCTTTCATTTTAAAAAATTTCCTAACTCCCTTTAAATTATCTTTAAAAAATGGCAAAAACAGCAATAGTAACACTTATCATAATAAATTTTGTTAATGTATTTAAACTAGGATCTAAAATTTCCAGCATTTTTTTCAAAAATCTAACTCAAATAAATATATCTAATTCAAATGAATGTGTTTTTGTAGAGAATGTAATAAAATAAACGCATGCATCTTCCAAATTCGCATATTTAAACTTATAGTTTAAATTTAAGTTATGCAGATACTTTAAAATCAAATCAAAAGTTAATTTTATTCCCTTTTATGTTTGAATTTCGATATAATAATTGAAAATCATAATAGTATAATGAATAATTTAACACAATCAAAAGAATTAATGCAGAACAAATGCCTTTTTATCTTACAGTGTTCCTGGGAAGGAATAATACATTTCATTCAATTTCGCAAGCATATTATTTAATTTCAAGTTATTTATGAACTTCAAATCAAATCAAACGGTTAATTTATCCTCTTCTGTATCTAAATCTTGACATAATAAAGGATAGCTTTTAACATTATTTTTTTAACACAATTAAGAACAGATGCAGTAGAATAAATGCATATTTTATGGTGAATATAGAAAAGAGTAACATATTTATTTCAAGTTCGCAAAATAAAATTATTTTTCTTCTTTAAGAATTTTTAGCTATGCGTATACTTCAGAATTATGTAGAAATGTTAATTTAACCACTTCTATTAATAAATCATTACATAATAAATCATAACATAATAAATAATAGCTCTTAAATTAATAAAGAAGATAGAATTGACATGATGAAGATTAGCCAATACAAAAGAAATACATTCTTTTATGGCGAATATAGAAGTGTAACATATTTCTTTCACATTCGCTAATTAAAGCTATTGTTCAATTTTTAGAATTCTAAACAATGCATTTACTTCAAAATCAAATCGAACGGTAAATTTAAATTCCTCTATATCTAAATCTTAACTCTTAGCATAATAGTGGTTAATTATGCATAATCAAGAATAACTAAAGTAGAACAAATCTATTTTGCCTTTTTATAGTGACAATAGAAAGGAATAACACAATTCTTTAAACTTCGCAGCATAAACCTTTTGTTCAATTTTAACTTATATACTTACAAATCAAATCAGATGGTTAATTTTACAGTGTCTTTGCATAAATTTTTACATAACAAAGAGCAACTCGAGCGAGTTTGATTAATGTATTCGAGAATTTAACATGATCAAGAATGGCTAGTGAAGAACGAATGCATTTTTATGGTGAATATGGCAAATTAACACATTTCTTTCAAGTTCGCACGCTTCAAAGTCAAATCAACAATACAATAATCTTGACACAATGAGCTGCTGCTCCTAACATAATAAAGAATAATTTTACACAATTAAGAAAAGTTAGTACAGAACAAATGCTTTTTATTGTAGTGATCATAGAAAAGAATTAAAGAACCTATCTTTCAAGCTCGTCTCTCAAACTGTTCCTTAATATTAAGCTATGCATAAACTTCGAAATCAATTTAAATTGTCAATTTAACCACTTCTGCATCTTAATCTTAACGTAATATACAACGACCTTTATCATAATTTAGCAAAATACAAAATTGCTAATGGAGAATTCGTGTATTATTTATAGTGAATATAGAAAAAAAGGAATGCATTCTTTCTCAAATTATGCATAGGATTCGTAGTCAAATCGAATAGTTTAATCATCTTCTTCGATATCTGAATCTTGTCTGATGGACAAACGCTGTTTCATATGGGGTGTTAGAGGAGGAATATAACAAGCTGGTATCAGAAATGATGATAGATTGAAGAGATCCACGAACACTTTATATCGATCACTGAAATTAATAAAAGAAATAATTATAAGGCATTTATTTTAAGATAATGCAGATAGCTAACAGTTTATTTATTTAAAATCACATATGCATAAATAAAATTGATTTGATATAAAGAAAAGTTTATAATTTTTTAATAAACTTTTTTTTATTGATGTTTTGTTATTTTTATTTATATTTGACGGGCTTGGCTTACACGAAATAAAAGGAAAAAAGCAGTTGCTGACGTAAACAAATGCCACGCTTCAACAACCAATCAGGATCAAAATACCCACACTACACCACTTACAGGCATCCCATTCGTTCAAAAGGAGTAATGGTGTACAAACTTTATAGTTTACTTTATAACTTTATAACTTACGCGTTAGGAAGCAGGATCCAAGAAAACCACAAAGTCTCATTCCTGTTTCCGGTGATCGGGAGAAAAAATTGCCTCCATGTATCATGCAAGTATGAACAATGCGTCCTCAAATTTAGCGGAACTATATGAGATATTTATAGGATTTCCTATCAGATTTTTTCGGTGAGATGATTCTGAAGCTTGACCACTGCACTCGTAAAAACATTTTCTGTTACGTGGGAATAGCTGAAAGCATTCATGAATCCTATTGAATCTGCAGAAGAACTCATCAACAAAATTTTGAAAGCGAGTGATCTCGAAATACTTGCTGTAATTCAGAATATTCGACGCTCGCGCTCTCGTACTACAGGTCCTGGGTTCGATCCTCGGGCAGGGCAACGTTGACTCAGCCTTTCATCCCTTCAGTGGGTAGATAAATGAGTACCAAGCATGCTTGGGAACTAAACACTGGGGGTTCCGCTTTCGGCCGACCACCTAACCGGGACATCTGCTCCTGCACCCCAGAGCCTAAGGTCAAGAAAACTGAGATGGGCACAGTACTAGGCCTTGGCCCTCTATGGGCTCTCGCGCCACTGAGTTTAGTTTTAGTTTTAATTCAGAATATTCACCAAACTGTTCTCTATTGTTGTACTGTCGATCTCTGTTTTAATCTCTGACTGCAATCACACGTCTCTGAGCTTGTTTTTGACATTAAATCAATCTTGATGCGTTTTTTTGTTGCATATAACAACACCGCTTTTGGGGTCTTGTCCCTTTGCCTCGTTATTCCGGCCAAGCATACTTTGATGTAACCTGATTATTCCAATATTTACAATCACTTCTTAAAGTTTCGTTCATATTTTATTAAACAATATGCATCTACTGTTAATTGTATTAAACAGTGATATTACTATTAAACAGTGATATAACTATTTTAACGGATAACAGGAGATCTAAGGTGTAGATTTTACCTGAGTGTAGATCTGAGGTACCAATATCCTGAAGATCCACCAGTACCTAGTTGTTGAGAGCCGATCATTCTCTGAACCATCAAAACATGATTATCTTCAAAATTATAAAAAAAAGTCTGTGTTATAATTTGTAAAGCCTGAGTTATAATTTGCATCATAAATAAATACATTTAATCAGCTTTCACCATAATTTATGTTTGGGTTAAACAAAAAATAAAGTAAATGCTTTATTTTAAGCTCTTCATTTTTAATACATGGGGGAAAATTGCTAAGGAATAAACACACTTTTGAGAATGTCTCTAGAAATAGAAAAACTAACAGAGAGAAATTTCATATAAAAATGCATAAAACTCTTACAAATGATTAAAAAAAATTTGGAGCTAACAGGCATCACTGCAAAATAGCCCAAAAATGATGTAGCAGAAAATGATGATGCACTCGCAGAAGGCTTTATATGAAGGTGTGACCACCTTTGATGGCAATGCAAGTCACACTAGCAGTGGTGAGCGCTAGCCTCCCAATCAGGTGAAACGGGTTCGAATCCCAGCAGTGGCTTGTCGATTAGAAATCTGCAGCCGGCTCGTACCGACGCCTGCACTGGCGTAAAATATTCTCAATAGTTAATGGATCATGGGTTAGAGTCCCCTTGCCGTGAGGCTAACTATTGAAGATGTTAATGGTTTTCCTTGTCCCGTAACGCAAATGTGGATTAGTTCCATCAAAAAGTCTCCCACGAAGGCAAATTTATATCAATACTTGATCAAGGATTTCCCTCGTTTTCTGGATCGGGTTCAAAACTACAAGGCTATGATGTTGAACACTGTTTGTCGTAAACTCAAAATTGGGTCGGGTGTTCAACGACGATTATAAAATAAAATACGAGTAGCACAACAAACTCTCATACTACTTAGGAGGTTGTTTATAAAGTCTTGAGACTATAAGTCCCACTACAATTAAGACAGTTTTGGCCCTGGGAAGATTCAAGAAGCAACAGGCGCTCTTCCAAGAGCATCCCAAAATTTGTCATTTCTCAAAATCAATTTGGCACCATAGCATTATTAAAATTTGACAGTTTTCATTTAACTTAGTAAACTTACATCTCCATTTTGTGATGTATGCGTCAATGTCCATTAAAAGTTGCAGAATATGGAAGGGTTGGTTGAAGCGGGGTTGGTCTCGGTACATCGAAATCATGAGAGCCCCTTGCAGTGCTGCATGGGAGAATCTCCTTTCACCTGAAAGGAAAAGTAACTGATTTTAAAATTGAAATATGATAACGAATTTATCCTTTCACTCAAAGTGAGTCATGTTCACGAAATAAAAACAAACTTAAATAACTTAATGTAGTATTGTAACATAACTATTCTCCTTAGGTAGAGGCAATGAAATAAGGCTGCTTTTATGAAATTCTTACGTTACGTTATGTTTTAAAAGTGTTAAAAGTTCATAACAGTTGTTCAAGGTTCAGCTTCGGCCAATGCCTTCAACGCTGATTAAGTACAACTAGTGTTAGTCCGTAAAATTATTCATATCTACAAGATACAGTTTTGGCTAACGTTCTCCATGTTGTTTAAAAAAATTGAGTAAAATTTAAGCAAAATTAAAAAATGCACAGTTTTTTGATGAAAAAAAGTGTTTGCAATCTAATTTTTTTATATATAGAGCAGTCACAATGAAAATTGAACAGCAACTACAAAGGTATAATAGAATTTGGCGTATTCAAAAGTAATTGTCGAAAGTTTTAGTATCTTTATCCTACTAGAAGAAGATCAATTTCAGTCATGTTGAAAGAGGTTCATCGTTAATGGATCCACAACATCACCCAGTCTTGTAATTCATAGTCCGAAGGCGAATGTGTTTTTTGAGATAATGCCGAAGTTACAAGATTGATCTTTGATAATGGCAGGTCTGGAGTCAGATTCAATGAAGCAATCAATCCATTCAGGCGTAGTGGCTAGACTGATGTTTTTGGGGTGCAATCATTTAGCAGTAATCTGTGTTCATCTCGGAAACTTTTCTATTGGTTCACCTTTCACAAACATGCTGTAATTGTCATCTATCACACAAGAAACGATGAAGCACTCTGAAGCAAAGAGGAAGAGTTTCCAGCACTCGCTCTCGGCATGCCTACCCTTCTTGACTAAGTTCCTTTTCAAATGCTAGACAAGAAAACTTTACACTTCACTCACCTCTATGGCTACAAAGAAATAACTGTATTGACCAGTACATTTTACTATGCATTTCTCATAAGATAGAGCGAAAGACCCTACGTAAGGTTGAAGCGTAATGTAAAACGCAACAACGGTGTTTGCAACTTTAGCATAGAATGCGTTTTACGTTGATTTTCCTTTTATAAATTTGAAAAATTACTAGGTCGTTACATTGTTTAGGATTATAAAAATATTTCCAGTTGAGAATGATTCTTTGATTCCAAAAGATTTTGTTTTATTTAAATGGGGGAAAAAAAGAAATTTTTCGAAATGAAAAATAATAATAATTTTTTAGGTGCTTGAAATGTAACACTGGTTGTATTTGAATGTCAATAATTTTGATCGAAAATAGATAGAATATTTATTTATAATTTTAGATAAACACGTTCCGGAAAGACAATTTTTTAAAATTTAATCTCTGTACATGCTGCTCAACCCCTCAACGATCGGTTAATTTTCAAGAAAACGATCATAAAAGTGCGTATTTTTTTATATCCATGAAAATTGATTAGTACTGACATCTAGTTTAAAATAAACTAACTATCTACAATTACCTTAAAAATATCCTGGTGCTTCCATCTGGTGTGTAGGAGGTTGTTTATAAAGTCTTGAGACTATAAGTCCCACTACAATTAAGACAGTTTTGGCCCTGGGAAGATTCAAGAAGCAACAGGCGCTCTTCCAAGAGCNCCTTAAAAAGTATCCTGGTACTTCCATCTGGTGTGTAAAATGAGAAATAAAATGTTTTCCGGGAAAAAGAAATTAATTAGTCTTATTCTTATTGAGCGTTACTACTGAACACTCCAGCCCGGAAATATCACGGGAGCGAAAAATAGAGAACGAAACCTCACCCCGTCGTTTTCTCGGGAGCGAGAAGGAAAGGGTTAAAATCCAACTTTGGGATAATAACTTCAAAAAAGACATTTTCAAAATAAATTTTTCATTTTTTTAAAAATAATTTTACAATAGATTTTTATTTTATCGCAAAATACTGTAGGATTGCTGTATACGGTTTATTGTAAATACTGTAATCAATGTAAGTCCCATAATTAGTTCTGCTATGTTTTAATAGAACCAGATCTGTGAATTGTTACTGAATAATCAGTTATGCAAATCTTCAAATAAATTGTTCCACGTAGCTACAAAAATAAGATAACCTTTATTGTGTCAATTAGCTCTTTTGCGACGTAAAATGTGTTTATAAAAAAGTCATTATCAGCAAACCACCTTTCATTCAATTTTGCATTTATTAGTTTTATTAGTATCATTGATTAATAACATATTCTTGTCTCGTCAAAAGTTATAATCTAGATTAAGGTAATTACGAACTCCTTGAATAAAATGAATAACAACGAATAATAATTACGAACTCCTTGAATAATCTGTTTCTTTTCTCAAGGTTTTTTCTATGATTCCCGATTAAAAAAGGATTTATCTTTTTCTTCTTCTTTTTTAGCAGATACAAACTATTAACCTTTACGAGAACTGGATAGATTTCTTATTTCTTGTATTTTGAGAACAATTTAAATTAAATCTTTCTTAAAAATCGACAGATTTGAAGCCAAAACCATTAATTGAAAATAAGGAATTTGATTTAATTATTCTAAGCACTTGATGCAAATATCTTAAAATGATTTAAATTAGCTCCTCAAAATTAATCAATTTAGAATCGATTAGTTTGTATTTCGTATGATCGATATAAACTAACTGGAATCTTTTCTATCGTAATTAATAATTCAGTACCCTCTCACCAAGATGAAATGAACTGATTTGAATCAATATAATCGGGAGGAGTGTCAAAATGGTTATTCATAACAATTGGCTATTGGTTATTCAGAACAATTGGCCAAAATGGTTATTCAAATCGTCCGCTTAATACCCCATTCAGTAATTTGTGAAAGATTTATAAGTCTGTAAATTTCTATTCAATGCTAATTCCATTTATTTTGTGCATATAGTTATGTATTTAAATTCAATATTTCTGAAATATTTACCTCTAGATACTAAAGCTTCATGTTTTTCTACGTCGAATAGGCTATCAAATGTACTCTAAAATAATAAAAGAAAAACTATGATTCAGTGCAGCAGTAAAACATGGTTTAATTGCAAAGAATTTTGAAAATATTTTCATACCTTTTTCTGTTTATACTCATTTTCTAAATCCGCTTTTATTTTCATATTAGTTTCGTCCTGAAATAGAAAAAATAAATTAAAATAGCTACTTAGATTGAAATTGCAATTATGTAACTGGATCAATTGTTAACAAAATAATTTATGAATAATATTAAAAAAACTTTTGAAGCTAATTAAATAGAATTGGCATGTTTGGAGTCCTCATGCGTCATCAGGACAAATTAAAATAGATAGACACACGAATTAAAATGGATAGATTCTTAATGTCTTCCATTTTTTCATGTTTCCTGCTTTATTACAAAAGGAGAAATTTAATAATTGATGAGAATTTAATTATTTTTGCTTTTGATGCAATCAAAAAATTAATAATCTGGTAAGTTTGGTTAAGCGTAAAACTATAACAGCATTTCTAAGCAGAATCTATGCGTTTATAGTAAATCAAATCCATAAAAATAACCATAAAAATTTCGTCAAACTTCACCCTACTGCAAATTATGGGTTTTAAAACTTTTTTTACTTATTTACAAACTGATTCAGTGATTTACTGAAGTTTGCCATAACCCCTATTCTCTTCTTCATCGATATTCATCTTCATTTTCAATTTTTTTCGTTTTCTATTTGCTTACTGTATTAAAAACTCTTCAAAGAGTGATTCATAAAAAATATTAAGTGAAAATTGCTATTAAATAACTATAGATAATTAAATATTCAATGATAATCGTTAGTAAATAATAAGTGCATACTATCGTTCCTCAAACTATCACAGATTTATATTTTCTTCCTCTTAGGCACTACAGCCAGTTACTGACCAATCAATTAGTTTACGCCATTTAGATCAATTCGATACTATATTTCTCCATCTATTAACTCACAAGTCCTTTAACCACTTTTCTATACTTAAAGTTAAATCTATTACGAAATTTCGAATTTGTGAAATTTTACAAATTATAGTACCGTTTTACCATCATCATTAAGATGCAAATACCTCCATTTGCAACCTTATATTCTCTAACTAAACATACAATGGTTCTCTAAATTTTTTCCAAAAATGAAATCCATTTGGTTCTAATCCAGGTGTTCTCTCTAACCCTTTCTATAAAATATTAAATAATAAATGCATACACTTTTTCCCTAAACTATCAAAGATTTATATCTTCTTCTTCTAAGACACTACAGCCTGTTACCGACCAATCATATAGTTTACCCCATTTAGATCTATTCGATGTTATATTTCTCTATTTATTAACTCCCAAGTTTTTTAACCACTTCTCTATATTATCCATTAAGATGTACATCTAGATCTGTATAAAGTTTTAAATACGTGAAATTTTATAAAAATTTTTGTACCATTTTACCATCATTAAAATACAAATACCTCCATTTGCAGCCTTACAGTCTCTATCTGAGCATACACCGAATCTCCAAATTTCTTCCAAAAATTGAATCCATTTGGTTCTAATCCAGGTGTTCTCTCAAGCCATCTCTATAAAGCAATATCGATTTAAGTTATAACCTCTAAATTCAACATATCACAATAAACGCATATCAATAAATACAACGACAAACACATTACAAAATATGATACAATAATACAACAATAATACAATAATACAACAACATACAACATATGTGAAAAAAATTAATGGAGAAAAAGAACGAAACAAAAAATTTCCGGTAGAATTACTATGGAATATATTTTTTCAAGTTCTTATAACATCTCTTGATGTAAAACTTGAATATAAAAAGAAAAAAAAACTCACGTGAAGTACATAAACAAAAATGACCCTTATAGCATTTCAAATTGCAACTCTGCAGTTTCCTTCCTATGATCTGTAGTATGACATTTTTTTCCTACGTGTATCAACGCCTCGAATCTCAACTCAAATTTATAAATTAAGTAATCGAACATTTTTGTTTCATTCCATCGTACTGCAAATACATTTTTCTACAAACTTGTATAAGTTTAGGTTTCTAAGTTTCGTAATTTTTGAGCAGTAAAAGATTATCTAACTTCAAGTTCAACGCCTGAAACTTTTTTTAAAAAATATATTTTAAAATTGTCCTCACCTGAATTAGATCACATAAAGATGCTTCATCTTCTGATTTCACTATTTTATTGATGGACTTGGGATCTTTGAAAACTGATATGTATTTGTCCTTGCTGAAATTTACTCTATTCTCCTAATTTAAATGGAAAGGAAAAATTAATCGATACTGATATGTTGATATGATTTTTTGATGATGTGACAAATCATTTTCACTACTCATTTACTACATCATTTTCACTACTGAATAACCTTTGATACATAGTTGCCAACTTTTGGAACATTTAGGGAAGTAATTGTTTCCAGAGAAAAAAAAATAATTAAATTTGCTTAATTCATTATAAATATTTTTCCATTTTATTTTTATTATCTTTTAAAAAACATTAAGAGCATGATTATCATGCTTCTTATGTTTACAGGTTCTAATTAAACGAATGTCAGAATTGTTAAGGGTTATAAAACTTACAAAAACAACTTTCCCAACATAATATAAGGCTTAAAAGAAAGGGCCGTAAGAGGTAGAAAGTTTGCTTAAAATGGAGAAAACAATTAAGAACTAAGAATTTTTATTTTCGAGTAAAAAAAATTTAAACAAATGTTCTATTAACAAACTACCCACTGCATTATAAGCTTCGATTTAGTGACCGAGGGAATCATGCAGACGTTGGAAAAATCCTAGCATTCCTTTAACATTTTACCTGCCATTCTGCTTAGAGAAACGAAATTGTCCTTGGGTATCTTAAGCTTCTCTTAAATATTATTTGAAGAAGGGAGAACTTGGCATGACCGGAATATCAGAGAGGCCAAAGACCGCAGCGAATTCATCCCTCGGAGAGGCATTGTCTAGGCCATTTCACCAAACAGGCACCATCTCTCTGCTCGTCCTTTGTTTTCCAACACCACATTGTGGCCATTAAGTTGTTGGTTTTTGTCAAGATCTGTCTCCCCTTACTGTTGTGACTATTAGTTTTGTTACACCCTTAATATTTGAAATATTTAAGTGCTATAAATAGCCGAAATGATTTCAAAATATATTTATAAAATCAATAATTAAATACTGAAGCATCAATTGTGCTATCACTAGAAAATTATTCTCCACAAGAAGAAGCGTAATGTTTTGCGGCTATGTTGATACCACCATTATAAAACATTCTATCATTATAATGTTCTACTATACAACATTCGACTATTATAAAAAAAAAATTCTACAACTCTTTTTCACTTTTACTTCATTTTCAATTTCAGTCTAAAAATAACTTGCTATTCATTTGATATTACTTTCCTTATTATGGAATAGTATAATACCTATAAAAAGGTTTAAAAGAGTTATAGACAATTTCTATTATACATTATAGAATTACAACTCAAAAATCCACGTATTTGAGGCCATTTAATCTCTTTAACTGAGTTTTAAAGAGTATTTTAGTGAAATATGAAACTTAATATCTAACTAGCCTTGATACCTTGTACCAATTGTGTTATTTTTAAACTTTGAGTTACAATGTAATTGAATATTGTCTTTACTGTAGGTACAGTAAAATGAAGATTTTTTTTATATTATTATAAATGTACTTGGCTGTAGTTAACATTATATATATCTATATCTATATCTATATATATATATATATATATAAGTTCATAACGAAGAATAAAACAAAGAAAAATAATAGACATATGAAAAAGGGGGGGAAATAATAAGTAAAAAATAACAAACAACAGTTTATTAAAAATAATAATAANATATATATATATATATATATATATATATATATATATATATATATATATATATATATATATATATATATATAAGTTCAAAATGAAGAATAAAACAAAGGAAAATTATAGACATATGAAGAAAAAAAAGGGGGAGGGGGAATAATAAGTAAAAAATAACAAACAACAGTTTATATAATATATTTAAAAAAAAAAAGATGAAATTTTATTTAAAAAACCGGCTATTTTAGTACAATATTCGAAAGAACTATTTTTGCTGATGACGAGATTAGTTATTATTAGTTATTTTTATAATTTTCTTTTTTTTTTTAATTTTTTACTCATTTATTTTTTTTTTACAAAAAGTTAAATATTTTTGTAATGTTTTTACTTCTTTTAAATCTTACTTCCCTTTATTTATTTTTTATATATTTATTTGATCCAGATAAAGAAGGATGTCACGTATCATCAGATGAAAACTATTTCAGTTAGTTTAGAATAATAAAACTGATACGTGCATAAAAAGTATCGAAAAAAATTGCTGAAGTTACCAAGAACGAGTAAGGAAATGTCAAGTGAATTAGTGCACGTTCGGCAGACATGAGGTTAAGTTTTTGATATTCGTGTTTTTAAATTCGAGTTTTTAAATGCGTGTTTTTTTCTCCTTTTCCTTTAAAATTTAAGACAAAAAAAGAGAAATGCACTTTATATTGAGCAGTCAGATTACACCATGGCAAAAAACAGTGAATTATAAACCACGTATCTACTTTATTTAAATACATAGCCTGTCCATTAAGGTCTGTAACTCTTACTTGACGAATAGCTGGAGCTATAATTATAAAAATGGTGTCCAACAGTCTTATAATGACACTTTACTAGTTTGACTTATTATTTTTATAATTATGTCTGCAGCCTTTTAAAAATTGAGAGGGTGTTTGCGAAATTCTGAAACAAATTACTACTAAACTTTTACATATTTCTATACTTACATTTCTTACTCCCAACATATTTTCTATTACTCGAAATTGCACACTCTGGAAACCAGATGCCGGGGATAAAAAGTGTCTAAAAAAAGTTTTTATAAAATTACATTTCATATTTATAGCACTTATTTTAAAGTTTCTTACGTGAATTCATCAACAAATATACATTACCATAATGCTGTACCTTAGAAAATTAAATTATGAATCAATATTATTAACAAAGCTACAATGAGAAAAATATTACGGTTATATCAACCAGAATATAATAAATTCACGGTGTTATTCAATGGAAACACAATAAGGCTCGATAATTTTTACCGATGAGCTTTGTTTATTTTGGTAAAATTAACAATAAAATAGATTTTCATAACATGAGATAAAACTTAGGAATGTAGAAAATGTGGTAATTTTACAATAATACATTAGAAGTTTGGCATGAAAACTATTTATTCAGTTAAATTTACCTTTCAGTTTTGTATTTTCTCTAAATGTGTGGTAATAAGAACTATAGCTTTGAAAACCAGAATATCCGGTTAACCGTTACCATATAAAAGGAAAAATTACAAAATAAACGATTATTTACCATATATTTTGGTTTCATTTACCAGAATTATAGAATGTGTGACGAACATCATCATAAATTCTGCTTTTTTTTTTAAACCAGAAGTGTTATAACTATTCAGTAAAGTAATTTAACAGAATTTCAGCCTAAAAATGATTCATACAATTTCAAATACCGTTTATTTCCAAGTATAAAATGTACAAATGAGGATGATACATAGAAAAATAAAGACCCTCACCCAGTTTCTGGTACATACTTTACAATACATTGTCACGTTATACTCATCCCATTGTTAATCCAGTTCCATCCTTACATGCATTAGCATCCATCCATACATCTGCTGCATCGACACTACGACTGTAACCTATGCCCAATGCCGTCCTTCTGTCAGCAATTACATTTTGGCAGTTATGAAAAGGTAGATGCATAAGCACAGATAAAACTTAATGCTCTGACAACAGTTAAGTTTAAAACTAATTCAATGTAAAAATTTTAGAGTAAATGTATATTTGCGTCTAGTGACAAGAATTAACATAAATTTTCTCAAAGGTTTCTATAAATACAATTAAAATATTTTTTCTCTGAACATAATGGCCCATTTTAAACACTGTGAGTCAAAGTAACGTCTTTTGAAATTGCGTCTAAATTCTATCAAATAAAAATAAGATTATAAAGTTTTAATTGGATGGATATCTGATAATATCCTAAACAAATGGAAGCAATAGATCTGAAACATTACTATACTGCATAGACGATTTATAGAAAATGCAATTTAGTGTTTTATTGCCAAAAAATAACGTACACAACCGAGCTATTATTTTAACAAAAAATAGATTAAAATAAAAATAATATATTCTTAATTTTTTTTTAATATTTATTTAAGTATTTTTTTCTAACTGTTTTTAGGAAACATATCTGTAATAAAATGTTATTTTCTTACGCATGAAATATTGGATTGTCCAAAAAATTCAACATACACGACACCAATTTTTTCTATAAATTTATTGTTTTATATAATCTGGTGCCCTGAAAGTCAACGAGAAAGTTATAATAGCGTTAACTTTATTTAAAGAAAAAAGTGATTATTTATTACATTAATGTGGGGTTAGTAGCTAACGACAATGTCAACCGTCATCTATGAAAAGGTACCCTACCACAGAATCGAGTTAACATGTCTTATATACTAGGAATTGAAATTGTATTTTTGTAGTGGTAGATGAGCTACAGTACTCCCCCACCAGAATTATATCCGTGATAGAATTCGATGAACTGGTACCACTAGTTGATTCATTGCTGTTTTTTGTGAGAAGCCGGGAGAGCTGTATTAAGATCACCGTACTTTTGAATACTGATCGGTCGTGGTTGCTCCCTGTGTTGCCATTAGCAGTCGAGTGTATGCAAGCTAACGTTGTGTGTGATCGATACGAGACTGAGTAGCAACAGTGCAAGGAGGGGGATAATGTTGCAGTCACAAGTAGCATGTCAACTATTCAATGTGAACCATCCAACGAAGTAGGCGCTACTGTTGATGTAGGCGTATTCATATCGAAGTGGGCGTTACTGCCAAGGTAGACGTGTTCACATCACGTCTGGGTCACCAATATAGGGCTAGTAGCTAACGACAATGTCAACCGTCATTTATGAAAAGGTACCCTACTACAGAATCGAGTTAACATGTCTTATATACTAGTGAATTGAAATTGTATTTTTGTAGTGGCAGACACGCTACACTTTAAATAATTCAAAATTAGCTGCTGTAAACGTTTTTGTTGATACTTTTTGAGAAGTGCTTACATATAATCCGGTAAATTTTATTTTCCTTCTTAATTTAAAAACTGCACGTGCATCTGGTAATGCTGTTCAGCCTTCAAAACAGTAAAAGCCATTTAAGAAAAACTGTAAAGCCACCACTTTGTTAACTTTATCTTATAAATCGTTGCACAATGAAGGATTTTGATTTATTCCATTACAAGATGGAAAAATCTTTAACATATTCTCTTTTTTATGTTTGTGGCTTTTTATCTTCAGAGTCTGCATCATCAAATCAATAACATTTGGAATCATCAAAGAAAACAACTATCTTGAAAGTCTTTTTATCACTTAATTTGGATTGAAACGGAGCACACAAAAAAGAAAAGAAAACGTCCTCCAGGATTTTTGCAGCATGACTTGATAGTTGAAGGCATAGTTATCGACCTTATAGTTAAATGGCATTGGTTATTGATGTTCATAACCCAGTGGACTTCAAGAATATTCAATTTGAAGGTTGTTTGTCATCCGTCAATAGATTAAGTAGTTAATGTTGATTTTTAATTTTTGCTTTACTCACTCAGCAGTTATAATTATAACAGCTATGTCCCAGTTATGATTATTCTTTGATAAAGGGATAAAAATACAGAAGTGATTGAGAGAGAATGCAATTTTTTAAATATAACGAAACTAACAGCATGTTTCCCCCAGATTTTAGCTAAACAAAGATTCTTTATAGATTATTTTTCCTATTTTTCTCCAAAAAATATAAACGCATTAAAAAAATTTTCTCTTTTTTAACTTCCTATACCTTAATTAAATTAAATTCAAAATTTAAAATTTAGAACTTAAAACTTAAAATTTAAAATAAAATTAAAATTTAAAATTTAAATTTAATTATTTAATTAATTAATTAAATTTAAATTTAAAAAGTCAAATTTAAATTATTAAATTCTAGTTTTAATAATTTAACTAAACTTTAAATTAAATTAAATTAAATTAAATTAAATTAAATTAAATTAAATTAAATTTAAAGGATTTGAATGGTAGGTATTAGCCTAGTGCTGATACATAATTTGAGTGTTTAAATTTGTTAGTGTTATTAAATTCTAAACATAAGAAGAATAAAGAAGCCTCAATATATTTTTAATGGAACCGACTATTCTTTTCAATATGGTTCAGTACTTCAAAGTTAAGTTTCTATTTTGGCCAATCGACACGATGAGTAATCTGAACACGAAATGTATAAAAAGATATTCATTTGCTTTACAACCATATAAAAAACAGCTACAGATATTCCCACTCAAAGTATAAGAAGTACGAGCATTACCTGAACTCCATAAAATCTAACGGTGCCATTGTTTCTAGAATGACAATTTGATCTACCAAAAGCTGTAAGTTAATTTAACAAAATATTAGATAGCACATAAAAAAACAAATAATAAAAAATAAATATTAAATGCTTTCAAAATATGGAAAATAGTTTAAAAATTTAAGAAAACAAAACAACTGATTCTTACCTTAAGAATCACAACAATTCTATTCAACCTGGAAGTTATTAGTAGCATTCTGTTTTCATCTATTGGCTGTAAATGAAATTATAGCATTTTGTAAAAACTACTTAGCATTATTAAAACAAGAACAATTATTTCTATAAACTGGAAAATATTATTTAATGGCATAGTTCCTTCAATGTATTGCAAGACTTTAAGTNAAAAGTGGCCAATCCACGTGGATATTACAGATAGAAAATTACTTTTTTTTGTTGCAAATCAAATTATATCTTCTGTGAGAAGTATTGCCTCGAAATTTTAAATTCTCTAGTAAAAATTTCGAAATTGCCAATAATTACAGTCATATTTTTTAGGATGGGAAGTATCACTTGCATCTAAATATCTAAAATTTAATCCTCAAATTGCAATTTTAATATCTTTAAAGGAGCAGCGATGTATTTCGAGGAAGTTGAAATGGAAAACAAATTCGGTACAACCATAAGCCTTGCCTCACTTAGCCAGTGATGCTATCCAAACAATCCAAAACTCACAGCACCTACGGATCCTCAACTATCAGTACCGTAAAATTCTATTGTATAGAGAACCGGCTTAATATACATAGCAGTATTCTGATAAATTTGTCACAAATTGAGATTAGGATATTAAATTTGATTGAGCAGGCCGAGAAAGATAAGTTAGTTTCATGATATCGTATGTATACACAGCCACGTACTCCATAACTTCTCGAACCAACTTCACTGTCAATTATACTTCGACCGCGTAGCATGGAAAGGCAATGAAAAAGAATTGAATCACTCTACGCAAAAAAAAAGGTTTAAATCTTGCTTACTACTTCTCCAAAAAGTTTCAACTGATTTTTCAGTGCGAGAAAGTTGAAAAAATTGTGTTTATAGTCTAGGTATTACATCATAAATTTAACTATTTTAAAATTTGCCGCACGAATTCTGAAAGCAGAAAATAAGTTGCTGTTTTTTCGATAAACAGCAAACACGATGATCAGTTCTGCCCTGTTTTGTCCTGCGCCTTTTTTTGTTTAGCGTAGTTAATAGAACTAAAGCCCGTTCGATTCTGGTTCGCACAATACTGTCTGCAAATTAAAATTTAGCAATGAGAAGATACGTGGGGAATTCTGGACTTGGGAAACGTAGGAAATACGTGGGGAGTTCTGGAACGCTTGGACAGCATCACTGGACGCCAGACTAACCGTGAGAGGTTCTCATGGTCTTCCTCCCTCCATTTAACGCAAATGCGGGTTAGTTCCATCATATAGTCCTCCACGAAGGCAAATTTCTCCGAATACCCAATCCAGGAGTTCCCTTGTATTCTGAATAGGGTTCAAAATTACAAGGCTACGGAGTTGAACATTAGTAGTCGTAAACCTATAAAATTGGGTCGGCTCTTCAAAGACGGTTATAAAATTAAAATAAAAAATAACCCAAATAAAGAGTCCATATTCAGTTACTCCTGAATCTCTGTTTCTCTTTCACTTCGACTTTCTTTACCCTCTCCCCCTGAATTGCTGGAATAAACTCGACCGGTGATGTTAACTCTAACTTAACACGCGCCAACTCATGTTGAGAGAACTATAATTGCCATCACCCGTATTACTCTGATGTTTATCAGTCAGTATAATTAATACTAGCCAAATAAATAGTTTAAAAAATAAACTTCGTATTTCAAAAAAAATAATAATAATATATTGAATAAGAAAATGCAGAGACGATAATTTTCTCCACTTTTCAAGCAAATGCTTACTAATTCGTGATTTACATCCTTTAAACTTAGCTATCATGATTCGCTTGAATAGCGATGATATTGTATACATTAACTAGGCAAAATTTATAATAATTTTGATGTTTCATGTAACTTAAGAACTTCAAGCATTGTATACAAAGCCGGTATTTTAAGTAATGCTAGTTACATACACAATTTTTTTTAACAATATAAACATAACACATTGAAACTGAAAACTTACCTCCATCGAAAACAATTTTCTTACAGAGGTTAATTCAAATATAATTTGTTTGAACCATAATTCGTAAGCTATAAAAAAAGCATAGATTGTAACGCTTATGAAAATCATAGAAGTACCTTAGCATTAATTTTGATAATTTAAACATATATTTTTTTTATCTTCTTAAAAAAAAATTTATATCGTTTAACATGTTAAACAAAATATGCCATCTATGTAACACATCATTAAAATGTCATAAACATTATTTTAAAATTTTAATAAATCAGGAGCAAAAATAAAATTTTAAAAGAAAATTATCTTTCGAGAATCTTTCTCATTATTGAAATAATTAGTTCATATGCTTATTTGAGTTACAAAACTGGTTTTAATTTTATTCATGGCAGATGCTATTAAATGTAATTGTCTTTCTTTCATTCTCTATAAGAAAATGTAACTTGAAGTTTGACCTTATCACATTCCGAGAATTTTTATTAGATGCACAATCTTGAAAAAAATTTATATTTACAATCCAATAATATTTATTTCAGAAAATTCCACACCAATATTAACTTTTTCTCGTATTCTGATTCCTGTAATAATATCTGGAGGGTGAAAGTTAATCTCGAATTTCAGATTTTACTGAGCAAGTAAACAACACTATATCATTTTTAATGTTTACTGAAGAAATATGGCAAAAATTTATATATTTTCTCAAATGTTAGTCTCCCACTGGAAAGAATTCTCCGCAAAGTAAAATGTATCAGCTGTTAATTTTTTTAAAAACAATATTCATAAATTTTCATTAAATAGCATAAATTACTTAAATGTAAAGAACACTCTAACACTGCTTTCTAGGTTGCGGTCAGTAACAGGCAAAATGTATTCCAGTCATAGACCGTGAAATGCCACTATTATATATCGAGCTAGACGAGCACTATATGGTTTCATTCAGCTCTGTATGGTTTCCTAACCATCATAAAATGCAGGCATGGCAGTAATTTATTTATCGTAAAATGTATGGTCATGGGCCGTTAAGTCAACGATTATCTCGTAAAATTTAGCAGTAGTTAGGGCATTGACGCTGTTTGAGACTCAGGCGATCTTTTTTTTTTTGTCGAATTAATGCCAACTGTGACTTTACGTGAGGTGGCGTAGTCCACACATCTACAAATTAAATTAGCTTTACGTAGTGGCTACTGAATAATTATTTTGCCTTAAGCCCAGCTATAATAGAAATAGTTTCTTTAGATTAAACAAAATTGTCCAACTATGTGTGAAAGTAAGTTTTGTATGGTTCACTAACTATCATAAAATGCAAGCATGGCAGTAATTTATTTATCGTAAAACGTATGATCACGGACCGTAAAGTTAACAATAATCTCGTAAAAGTTATCAGTAGTTAGGGCATTGACGCCTTTTGAGACTCAGGCGATCTTTTGTTTTCTTTTTGTTGAATTAATGCCAACTGTGACTTTATGTTAGGTGGTGTAGTGCACACATCTACAAATTAAATTAGCTTTACATATTGGCTACTGAATAATTATTTTGCCTTAAGCCCAGCTGTAATAAAAATAGTTTCTTTAGATAAAACAAAGTAAGTTGAAAGTAAGTTTTGTTAATGAAAAGAAAAAAGCTTATTTATTATATTATATTTAATTGTTATATATTTGCTTATTATATATAATTGAAATTGGATTTCTTTTTTATGAAATAATGAAGCTGGTCGTAACCATAGAGTTTAAATAGAATAGAGCACACACATGACGATAATTTTTGTCCTCATAAATAAAACCACGTGACTGTTGAGTGAATCCAGAGAGATATATTTTCTAACTCGGTTTCTTCTGTGTTATTTCAATGGAAGAAATTATATCCTGAATTTGTGAAGCAGAAAATCGTTAAATATGGTGATTTATTGCTCCGCATTTGCTTGCAAAGAAAAATATTTTAAAGGAGGATTTTATAAGTAACTTAATTCATCACTTTTTGGAATTGTTTTATTTATTATATGAACAAACTTGTACAGTGTTCTTTTTTTTAAAACATCATATTAATCCCGAGGCAATTTTTTTATTCCAAAATTCAAACTTATGATTTTAAATCTATCTTACAAGTATAATATAAACGAATAAGAACACATCTTAACCATAAAGTAATGACTATATAGAATCATTCATTATTAATACATAATTATTTTAATTTTATTGCCAAAATGAAGTGGGCGAAGTTATGACGACATTGTTGTTGTTTTTTTAATCTTTCTTTGTTTATTCACGATGTTTTTTTTTACTCGTCGCTAATGTTTTCAAACGAAAACAACTCTTCGACATATTTTTTATAATTACTTATTATTATTTGAGTAAATTTTGCTCATAACATAGATTTGCCCACAGTTGAACGACTATGAAAGATTAATTTAATACCATTTGATAAATAGGGCAAAACATTTTAACATTTTATTAGTTCTTTAACAAAATCATTTAGTCTTACCTTCAGATAGAAGGTAATTTCAAATCGTTTTAAATCCTGATCATCATGATTCATTTTTCCATTAAAAAAAATACTTTTTTTCACAGATTGTAAAAATTTTCATTTAATTCAATTTTTTAATTTTAAAGAAATCTAATAAAAACATTAAACATGATAGTCAAAGAACGAAGAAAATAATTAAGATTTAATGTCAATATTTTAATTTGGCTTCTGTGTTCTAAAAATATTCATTTTTATACTAAAAATGGAGAATATGATATTTTTAGAATAAATAACTTCGCAGTCCTTTATTCATGTTATATATTCACTAATATTGACTGTCGCTCCGAAATAATTTTCTTATTAAAATTCCTTTTATAGAAATATTTTGTATCAAAATCACATTTCAAAAAGATTTGTGCATCTTATTACAGCAATATAGTTTTACGTTGTAGTCTTATTTTAGGATATTTCTTTCAGATTTAAATCTAAAACCTGTATGTATTTAAGTATTGGAAATTTAATGTTTAGAATCATTTCTAAAAATGCATCCTTAAAATTTTAAAAGTTAGGTTTAATGAAACGTTTTTTCAATAAATAAAATGAAACAAAAAACACTCAAAAATATTAATTACTAAATAAACAAGAAAAATATCGGATTTCAATGTGATAGATTTTAATACTAACGTAGTGCTGTTATTTATGGTTTAACTATTTATTATTTTATAATCAATAAATACGTATTCCTACAAGTTTTTTTTAATACTGTTATAATTTTTTTTAAATAAGTAGTAATAAAAACGTTTTGTCTCTTTTGCATTGGTTGCATGTATAGAAATTTTGAAATCACAAGTTCAGGTAAAAAAAATAGTATATCGTAGAAATTTTGCCTGTATGAGAAAATTTAATGATAAGTATAATTGAACGGAAATCCCGATTAGATACATAAAAATAACTATTTCAAACGCTCTTTATAGTTCTAATTCAACTGATAAATTGTTTTAATAAAAAAAATACTAATAAAATGTAGGATAATTACGAACTTTTGAATTTATTATTCAAAACAGTAAACATTTTTATTCTGACTCTATAATTTAATCTTTTATGTATATCTTTTTAAAACACAAAGATTAAAGTTTCTGATTATGAAGAAAAGTAACGTTCTGTAGCCAATTATGCTCTACGCTTTTCGCCCGCTGCATGCGCTAAACTTTGGCAGTGTATTTAAAGTGAAAATTGTACGCTTAATTTTTACTTCGAAATACGTGATTTCATATCCGAAACTGTAAAAAGTATTTAGCCAGATTGGCAAGCATATATGGAAAAACTTTTATTTTACTTTCGTTAATTGTAATGAAATTAAAAATAAAATGTACGTACTTGTCCTTCTTACTTTGTAAATTTAGTAATTTTGCTTGTTTTTTTCGTAAATATTTGTAATGAAAAGGTTGGAAAAAAATTTACTTTTTCTGAAAGTTTTAAATATTTTATTATTTTAATTTTCACCTCGCTTACCCTTCCCAAATGTTACACGCAAACAGCTTTTTCGTTCCTCAATGAAATAGATACCCCACAGAAACAAATCGAGAGAAATGTTGTATTCCTCAAGAACAAATTGTTTACCAGGAAGCATAACAACTTCTTCCAAATAGTTTAGCTATAAGAGTACTGTACTATCATAAGGTATGTTAGCTTTCTGTTCATCAATATGTCTGCTTTTAAACAAACCAGGGCTCGAAAAAACTCAGAAATTTTACCCGTCCCCGAGGACGGCTTGTCCAACAATGTACCCGTCCTCCTTTGAAACTAACCCGTCGCTTCTAAATGAATAAAAATATAATTTTCTCTTATTTATTACAAACATTTATATAAATTGCACAATGAATTAGTAGTTACTAGGATTACAAATACTAGGATTACATTATACAGTAATAAAAGAAATACTAGGTTACTAATAGTAAAACCTAGTATTTCTATTATGAAATAATTTATTTCTTTGATGAAATAATTTAAATAACAAAGGTTAAGTTATCTGTCAATTATCATGTCAATTTATCCGATGGTACTGCGTTTTTTAAATGAATCAAATATGACGTTTGCCAGTTCCACAATCAAGCCAATGATTTACAGAGGTTTCTGCACAGAAATCTGAAAGAGGTTTTCCATTTAGGTAGATGTTCATAAATGCGTTTAACGCTTCTTGTTTAAGACCAGTAAGTAATGTGTTTTTTTGTAAGTTCATTGCTGAAAAGCCCCTTTCAACCGCTGCAGTACTCCCAGACAGAGAAAACATCAATTCCACCATGCGCAGTATGTTGCTGTATTTCGAGATTAGAGGGTCATTTTAGAAGTGAGGCGCTAGACTCTTGTAAGATAACAAAAATTGAAAATGTATCACGAACATTAACGGGAAAATGGCCGTCCGCGCGGACGTCGGATTCGAGAAATTCGTTGTCCGCGGGGAATTTTTGACCGTCGAGGACGGGCGGACGGGCTGTTTTTCGAGCCCTGAAACAAACCATCTTCCCTCGCCACCTTGGTTTTAAGGTTAAATTTTTGAATTGCGTTTTTCCGATGTACTTAATTATTGATCATCAGCTATCGATCAACAGGATTCGAAAGGATTGAAAAAAAAAGCCGTCGATATAATAAATTAGGAGAATCAGAGCTTGATAATTTTTAGAACTTTTATAGAATTTTTCTTAAAAATATAAATAATAAAAGTAATTTCCGGTTTTAGCATCAACACTTTACAATACAATACAACATGCAGTAACCGGTTTTTCGACTACCTTCGAAAAATTCAGATAGCAGAATTGTCGGTATTTAATTGACAGATAGCAGAATTGTCATTTTAACTGAAAAAAATTAAATGAAAACCAAAAACTGTAAATAGATCGCTGCCTTGTATTCTACATACTTCAAAAAATAGTACCGAATGGAATTAAATATCTACCATCAGTTTATTTGTGAAAATTATATAAAAAGGATTAAAAAATATTTAAAATTTTCCCTCTTCATCTCCCCCTTTCCCACAATTGAATTAAAAATCTTACAAAATTTATTTCTTGTATTTAATAAGGAGTAGGAAGCTATATTTTCTATGTAGCATTAATATTTAAGAAAACAAAGGTTTGTTTATCTCACCTTGATGGGTGATAATAAAGAGGTGTTCATCGTGAACGCATTCATTTTCATAGATTTCAGATGCAGGCTTTACACAGCTCAGTAGCTGATCCAACTGTAAATATTTAAAAATATATTTATATATGTATTTGCTGGGGAAAAATATATTGCAACTAATATCAAACAAGCGGATTAAAGAAACAAAAGACGCATTTTGTAAAAATGCATTTTAAAAAGAATACATTCTGTTAAAATGTACAATATAAGAAATACAGTTTCTTAAAGAATAAATTCAAAATAATAAAATAATCAGTAATAGTTTATTTGAACTTTAAAGATAATACAATTTTTTTTCAAAATTATACACAACATTGATAATAAGTTTTTTTACTAACACAATAGCAAATACAGTGCGTTCCGTCAAGGCCACATTTTAGAGTTCGACTCAATAATGATAACAATGTCTTTTTAGAGTTCGACTCAATAATGAAAATAGAAATGTATTAACATTGGAGGTTGATATTTATAATTAAAATAAAAATAATAAAAAAACGATATCGAAATCTGACCATTTACAATAGAGCAAGGTGAACGTAATGAACATTAAAATAGGTTTAATTGGACTTGAAGATGTTTCTATAGTGTGTCCTAACTAAATAAAGCCACTTTGTTTTTTTACCATAAATATACGGAGAAAAAACTATGAGAAACAAACATATGTTTTAAAGTTTATATCTAAATACATATTTACAAGGAGTAATTCACTTCCTGTGCCAACCAGACAGAAAAAAAAATATGGAAAAAATAAAGGGAAAAATTTTCTCTCTTAAAATAAATTTGAAATAAATATTATAACCAAAATATCTACCATGTATTTTATATAAATTTAAATATATTGATGTTGAATATTATCTATCAATCACAGGAGGAAAATTGCAACATTGTTAGGTCAAGTTTCAATGATGGCAGTCTAACATTCTGCCCAAGAATCTTTTCCTTTCCTGCATGTACAGACTTACTGAGAATAGCTATTTACATTTTCTTGGGCATTGAAGTCATAAGAAAGGGCAAGTCATTTGTGACCATATTAATCAAAAACCATCACTTTGGAGATTTTGCAACGTAAATGAAAGCATTTTCTTAAAGAAAAATTCGACTTGGGTCGGAAATTTTCACTTCAAATGACAGTAAATAAGTTTCCGCCATTTTTCGATAATCGGTAATCTTTCTTCGGCCTGTGGGAACGGCCCAGTTATACTACCATAGCCGAAACCTTCCACAGCACTTATGAGCTTCCACAGTGCTGTCCATTTGGAGAGAATTTTCTGGCTTTTTTCTTATCTACTATTTCTTTTTATATATTTTTCAACGAATTTATGATATAAAAAACAACAGGAATGGCTGTATTGAAAGCTAACCGCAAGCAAAAGAGGGTAGAAAATAAAAGAACTAGCAGTTCTGTAGGCTATTACAATGGCATGAGAAAAGAAGGCGATTTTTTTCTTCATCAGACAGCAAGGTGGAAGCTCATCAATTGTGTGGGAAAGATTCAGATATGGTTGTAGCTTAAACTAGTCTTGCTCTCAAGCTGTACAGCAGCCGATAGTCAAAAAATTCGAGAAATTCCTTCTTGCTTATTGCAGAGAAAATAGATCACCCAAATTGGATTTTTCAGTAGAATAATGCCTCCTTTTACGTTGCAAAAGCTTCACAGTGTCTGTTTTTGGATAATTGGGTGCATACCATGAATCGCCTATTCTTTTACCTGATAAGCGGGAGAGCTATTCACATCAGAACTGTATAGATCTGAAAGTAGCAGTTTCAGAATTGAAGACTGCTATCATTGACACCTGGCACTGATGCTAATATCCTCGATGGTTTAGTAAATAGTACGTAACAGCATATATTTCAAATTTTATATGTAAACATGACGGATCTATCAGCTATACTCAGAACAGACTTTATTTAGATGGGACACTTTTTTTCTCCTTTTTTTTTTTACTTATTCGATTTTTTTCCTTGTCCAGGTAGAGCAGGATGTTACTCCTTGTAAGCATGCGTTTAGAAATAGACTTTTTAAATATATCAGTTTGGTATTCATTGGATTTCTTCGCTTCCAGTTATCGCAAAAAAAAAAAGGTGGCTTTATTTAGTCTGGACGCACTGTAATAACTCTTCTCTGCTTCCTTCCGGAATCAAACCTGTCTTGTTGTTCGCCTCTTGTTTTGTGATTTTTTTTCTTCAAATTTCGCAAGCATATTTTTTTTTATTCTGTTAAATATTTATTTGCGATCCCCAATGTGTATATATCTGTGTTTTTCTCCCTGGTAAGGATTCTTTTTTTTTCGTCGTATACCTGTTTAGGCAGTGGGGGTGCCATTGCTCCTGTTTTTTCAGTGGCGCCATCTATGGCCAGGAATTCGACTTCTGCCACGCCATTCACACAACCACAACCCGTTTATAGGGCGGGTAACATTCACACACAAAGGAGAAAGGACATAGAACGCACAGAGAGAGAAAGAAACATTCATGCCTTGCCCAGGATTCGAACCCAGGACCTTTCTAATGCAAGGTCAGTTCCCTGCCCCTATACAGGCCGGTCGGCAAGGATTCCTTTAAAATTCTTATTAAGGTCAGTGTGTCCTTATTAATTGTTTCCGGAACACCCTGTACGTTTTTTTTCTTTTACTAAAAATGCCTGACCTGTAAGTACTCTCCGTATAGCATTCCAGTAGTTTCTGTTCCATTTGAGCTGGAGTTTTTTACGTCAACATCATTTTCAAGAGAATTATTTAACCTAAAAGAATCATTATAAAATAAATATTATTAACTAAATAAAAAAATCAGAAAAATCACACTTTCTTAGATTGATGCATTTTTATACAGAATATAAGTTCTTTAAGTTTAAAATGCATTTATCATTTGCAGGTAGTATAAATAATTCTATTTTATAGGTGTATCAAAATTCCCTCTTCCGCTTAGATACTACGATATTATGATGATATTATGATGTTCCACAACCATATCCCATTGGAGGGATATGATTGATATTATCTTTGGTTGAGGGATATGATCGTGGAATTTTGTTGTTGGAGAATTCAAAAGTAACACACCAGAAAGTTCTGAGGAATATATTTCTTAAATCCGGAGTCAAGTTTAATTCTCAATCCATACACCAAATAACAGTACCTATTTTTAATGCAATTATTTAACCTGCACTCATAAAACATGTAAGCTAATAATTACCTAAAATTAAAAATGAATGTATATATTGTACATACACTTAGTTTTATACAATTTTCTTGAATAAAAAATAAGGATTTTTACCACCGTTTTTTTTAAATTATGCGATTGTTAAGAAATTGTATAAAATTCGAAATAGTTGATAGATTGATTTTAATGCATTTACTTATGTAAAATAAATTGCAGCAAAGCTCTGAATGATATAAAACTTAAGATTAATTTTATTATTAAATCCACTGTCATGACACAGTAGGGTGGTCTGGGTCTAAACCAGCAGAACCACCAATAAATTAATTAAAAATATGATTTATTGCATTTGTAAAATAACAATTAAAAAACATATCCCTTCTTTAAGCAGCAATTTAAATACATATAAGACAAATTTCACCCTTCAAAAAAAAAGGGCAGTCTCATTTTGTTCGAAAATAAATTATAATATAAAATTCACATGCATGATTTTTGATATTTGAGATCATGTTTTCTTCATAATTTATCTTGCTTTTGCCAACCTGGATAAATCTTATTCTTTAAAGTCATATCAGACACTAAGCTCGATAGACCTGATAAATTCTGAAAAATTATTCTCTTTAACTATTATTAATAATGAACTTATAATATCAATATTAACCGATTAATTATATTGACTGAAACAGGCTCAATAATAATTTTATTCGTTGTTATTCATTGAAAAATAAGTATTAATCGTGCTGTTTTTTTAAGCATCATTAACGTTTAGTTTCTGCCAGTTTTTCTATTGCAAGTCATTTATTTCAATTTAATTTGTTTTTTATTTCAATAACTTATTATTGACAGAAAATTTTAAATTTTTGAACAGAGTTAGTCTAAATGATTTTAATAATTGATTTAAATTCTCAATTCATACTCCAGAACACATTTCAATAAAGTTCTACTTAGTTGAGAGCGGAGAGAGGATCGTTTGCGAAGATTGCAAATAAGATTGCATAGCAATCTTCAAGGGTTGGGAAGCGTTAACAAACAGGGGTGGAGCCTTAGTATTGTTTAATAAACGAATCATTTTATGTAACTACCGTGTCTTCGCAAAAAAGCATTTAATCGGCACAACCATGAAGGCCATGAAAATAAAATAAAAAATCGCCTTTATGTAAGAAGATATCCTGAGACAATGCATTTGTCAAATTAACTATAAAAAAATCAGAAATTATAATTATCGCGTTTTTTATAAGCTTGCATAACCATGCGTATGTTATTGCGAGTAATTATTCGTTAGATGCGTCCTCTGTCAAATAAAATAATATTTAAATAAAATTTACGATTGTAAAAAAGTAATTTCAGTTTCTGTCTCAAGGTTATATGAATTCTAAAAATACATTCTAATACTTTTTTATTTGTTGTTTTTTTAACATTACAAGGAAATAGTGAGCTTTGGAAATTATATAATCACATCAGTTTAAGTAACAAAAACTACTGATATAACTCAAACTGCTCAAACTGCTGAAAAACGACTATTAATATCGCTGCATAGACACGTGACTAGACTCAGATACATGTTGCGACTATAAATGAGAGGGAAATTTGTTACTGAGTTTAAAAACGCGGATAAGTAAAATTTAATATATTTCTGAATAATTAAAAGTAAAATGTCATTCATTTAAATTCCAGTTATCCGAATCTTGAAATATGGAGGGGGGTGTAAAAAAGATAGGCGATCAGCGTACATCTGCATAATGCACCGCATATGTCAGTTAGTTTCAAGCCATCAAACGTTATCAGTCAATTGAGTATTAAATAAAAATTAATTTTTTATTCAATACCGATAAAATGTTATATTACAAAAGCAATATTACAAACAACTTATCATTTAAAATTTCTCAAAATAAATAGATAAAAGAATAGAATTTAAGCAACGAAAATATCCGACTATATGAAAAACTAATTTTAGAGAAAAGCGAAAAAAAGCAGACATGTACGGTATACTACGTTTTGCTTAGGAAGCAAATTAATTTATTCTCACCAAATCTCAACATAAAACGTTATTATATTAAGAAAAAAAACTATAAAACAATGCTTTTTGATGCACTTTGCATCATTCCAAATGCGATATTTTAGACGTAAATTAATTTGTACTCTGACTTCAATGAGTTTTTTCAGGTAATATTTGTTACTTTGAAGGCATTGTCTTACAGTTTTTTTTTTCAGTTTGTAGCGTTATTTCGAGGCGAACTCGTTTCATAAGCAAAACTCCTCGAAGCGTCCATTTCAGCCCCTTTCCACTTTTTTCCCATTAATATTTCGAAAAACTTGGTATCACCTTTAAATTCAATTAAGCTTGTTTTTATCAACCAAATCTTCCAGGAATTCAAAACGCAGCTTGATTAATTATTTCATCTTAGTTTTATTCATTTATTAATTCATTGAATTCTTGATGGTAAAATATTTAAATCTAATAATCTCATTGGAGACGCAGGTAAAAATATTAGTAACCAAACCAATTTGTTTCTTTAGTTTATTTCATAAAGAAAAAAAAATGAAGCGCAACTAAAAACACATGCAGTGAAGAAAGTTTGCGAATAAAAGATTTAGGTCTTCAAAATTGCATTTCAAAATGTGTTTGAAGTAATGACTTAATTTTATCCGCATTGCCACAATGGGATAAAATTAAGTCTGTCATTATGAAGGTTAGCTATTCAGTTCAAGGATGATGGGGTCTTTCCTTGGTCGCGACTTGAAATTCGAATGGATGGATATAAGTATTTCTTTAAAGTAAATACGGCATGTGTTCAACTCTCATCTCATTGCCCCCTCTTGCCTCTGGTTTCGAACTTGTGGAGCCGTAACAACCAGAAATTTCTTGGTTGACGAATAGACTGCTTTATTGTAATAAATTTTTACATACTACATTTTTATATGTATATTTTTACATATATTTTAATATATTTTTATATGGATTTTTATGCATTAATTTTTATATGTGTATATAATTTTTATATATGTATATATTTTTTATATATATTTTTTTTACGCCGACTGGACTTTGTAGGTGTTAGGGAGCTAGCCTCCTTTCCTCAGAAAGGTTCTGGGTTTGAATCCCGGGCAAGGCATGGATGTTCTTTCATTCTCAGCCCAATCTACCCTTAATGTGGGAGCAACGTTGGCCCACCTAATATGGTGCCCCAGAAAGAGTGGCTAACAAAACTGCCCTTCAAATGCTTGTATGACGAAAAGTAATTCCCCAGGTGGGCATTGGAAAAAAAAACTTCTTTTTTATGAAAGTTTAATATTTTTGGAATGTTAGAACATATATACCTATGATATAGAAGGATTATTACTACCTGAACTTTGTTTCGAAATTATTTCGAAACTCATCTCTAAAAAATACGACATCCAGATATTTCACCAAAGGGAAATGTCCAATAAATATTGTAATAATTGTTTTGTTTGCACCACCCAAAGTTGTCAGCTACATGAATCAAACAAAAAAGAATTCCATTTTCAAACAATATTTCTTACAGTTTGTTCAATGCTGATTTTGATATTTATTTTTCTTCATAATTATTTTTAACGTAAGAGATAAATAAGACAATTATAACATGTATAATATGTTAGAATTATTAATGCCGAATTATTGTACAGAATGATGCAGTTCTATTAAAAGAGAGGTTGCTAATTTTTTACTGCTACGCAACTCTCAATGATCAAGTTTTCTGTTGTGGAACACCAAACATTTTTAGCAGCAATAAACCTACTAACCAACAAAAGACTACTAATTGTTTTAAATATTTAATGAGAAGAATGATTTTTTTAATAATCATTTTATCAATAAAACTTTATAACAATAAATTTTGGATCAAACAGTCGAATTCGCAGTCTTGAAGTGGTAATTTAATCATGTTCTGAATTTGTTTTCGATGCATAAATTAGCTGAAAATGAATAAATTGAATAAAATGGTCATCTTATTTTGAATTGAAAAATTCGGCTACAAATGCTGATGCGATTTTTTATAAATTTTCCCGTTTAATTTTTACAGGAATTTTACTTTACTTATTCTATATAAATAAGCTTAATATCAAACAAATTATATTTTATTGTTTAAATATAAATGTATTTGCTGGCTTCGAAAATTATTGCTGTACTAAAAAGGATTTAAACTCTTGAAACTCATATGACCCTTTCACCTTAGGGACACCATTTGAGAAACAATGTAGTAAACTATAGGGCTCAATTTATAATACTATAACGTCCTGAAAGCCTTGAAAAGGGCCATTAGACTCATTTTCTTTTTTTTATATTTAAATTATTTGAATAATTAAGCACTATTTTAATATTCAGAACACGCATTAATTGTAATACCTGTTTTTATTGAATCAGATTAAAATGCGTGAGCTGAATTGGTATTTTATTGTCGCAAATGTTACGCGTCTTAAAAATTATTTTAACTTCGGACTAGAATTTTTTTCGCAATCGGGTACTTGCACTTCAAGTAGAGGAAGATCATACGTGTGACCTATGACCAGCTGATCGTTTATAAGCAAGTTGAGCTAAGTCTCTCCACTAAGTTAAATTGGTTGGAGTTC